ACAAATGCAGAGCGCATCAGCAGTTTGTGGACTTGTCAAAAGGTCAGCGAGATCATTTCCGCATTATTACGAATCCAATTCGATCGCGACTTAAACTTTGAAATTTTCCGAGAGCAAATCTTACGAGAGAGCTCTGAGATATCAAGCTCCCTGAAGCAATTCTCCAATTTCTGAGCTGGAGAAGTTTCTCAAGCTGGGGAAACAGCCGCGCATGCTCATTGAGGAGAAATTCAGGGGCGATTCAGGGGAAGCTCTCTGTGGAACTCGTTTCCATTCAGGGGTTAAGGGGTGGAGGTGGTGGGTTTGGGTTAAGGGGTTTTCACAGGGGTAGCAACTGGGGTAAAGTCTCCATTGTATCGTGAATTTATAACCCCTGATTACGTACGAGGGGAAGAATTCGGGGGCGAGTTAATTTGTTGTTTTGTTATGAAATCATTTATTCTGATCTTTTCCTTACATATGTTTCCATTTTCTAAAAAATCTTTAATTTTGTCGCTGGCGCTTATAATCTTTCTTAAACATACGGTTTTGATGTAAAGTCTCCATTGGATCGTGAACTTAGTTCTCCAGATTACGAATGCGGAGAAAAAGTCAAGGGGCAAGTAAAAGTTTTGCTTTATTAGTTTTATTTACTAATTTTTTTTTTTGGGCTTTCGTTAATATTTAGTGTTCATTTTTTGGCTTAATTAAACCTGTGAAGTAAAATTTCTTAGGCTTTCCCCTCAATTCCCCTAATTTTGTTGTACTTTTGGTAATATTAATTAAGGAAAAGCTAAAAAATTAAATTCATTGTGTTTAAATCCTTTGGAAATATCTTACCTACATTTTTGTGGACATTATGAGCTTGCAAGCAAAGTGTTTTATTTAGCCAGACTACCAGAAGAGCTCCTCTAAATAACGATCCCCTCCTTGGAGCTGATAACAATAAGTAATTGTCAGGCGGTAAGTGATCATCATAAATGAGAGATTTCGCAAATGAAGCTGCGGCAGATGGGGCCTCCATCCTCCGCCTTGTGCGCATATGTCTCCGTACAATAACTCGCACCTCGACGATAAGCAAAAGTCAAAATTTTGCAACCGCCTGTTGGTTGTTGTCAACATATCATTTGTCACTGCAGCATCGATAGAGGCTCTCAACCAAAAAAACAAACTCCCAACTTTGACTGCAGTTTCCTCCTACATGTAAAAAAAATATTGTGTTTTTTCTAATAATATATCTATTTCAAAACCAAATTTTTTTTAATTTTAGTTTTATGATTTTCTTCCACTTAGTTGCCAATTAAGTTTTTTAGTTATTAAAATACTATTTTTCTTGTTTCAATTTTGATGCCAGTTTAGTTATTATATAAAATACTTTTAGCAGAAATATTACAGAGTTAAAAAAAATGTTCTGAAATGAAAACCATTTTTTTTTGTGCACTTGCGTCTTTAACAAACGACTGTTGGCTAAAGGAAAATCTGGCTATATCTGTTATTAATGAAGTTGCCAAATCGAAAACCTGGGACTTGAGATGCAACTGGGGGATGGCGATGTGGATGCCTCATGGCCAATTAACCCGCTAATTAAACGGCTGCCACGGTAGCCAGTGGCTGCTGTACAGGAAGCTCTCTGCTGGCGAATGTGTTTTATGCCCCGTTATCGGTCGAGAAAGAAAGATGCCTCATGAATTGCAACGTCGCTGGAGTTGAAAATGCGCTGCGACATTTTCTGAACCGTCTGCCACTTCATTAACTCCAAATTGATGGGTTCAATTAGGCAACAAGGTCCCAGTTTCGTTCCCACTCCCCAATGCCCAATGTCCAATGCGATTCTCAGGCAGCTGCATGTCCCCAATTCCAGTTCAGTCGTCAGTAATTAGCGCAGAGATTTTCAAATTGCCAAAACTTGTTGGCAAAAAATACAAAATTATGGCGATCACCTGCTGCGGTTTCACTTTCGCAGGATGGCGAAATGGAATCAAACGAATATGAATTCCGTTTGCCCAATTCTTCGTTTGCAGCTGCCAGGGTTATTCGTAGAATTTTGGCCTGACTTTTTATATATTTTTTTTTATTTCGGGAGTCGTTAATTAGCTCGTTTCGGAAATGGTATTCTCGTGTTAAAACATTGATTCGGTTGGCGCGCTTAAAAGGTGTCGCCGAAAACTCAACTCAACTTTTGGGCTTACTCATGCTGGTCATAAAAGTTTCGGGCTCAAAAAAAGTAAAGAGAAATAATCTAAAGCCATGCAGAGTGGAAAATATGCGGAGAATCAAAAGGCGCCGTATCCTCTTGTTTCGGTTCGCCCATCATTAATGCTCCATTGGGGTCGAAACCGAAATTCTGGCAGTGGATTTTTGAACTTCCAGCTGCTCTTGTCAACTTTAATGCGTCTTATGGCCTGGCTTTAATAGGTAATGCCCGTTTAGCAGCGCGGCCCCAAATGACCGGCAATTCATTAAGATGCACGCAGGGTAGCAAATATATGGGTATGGGTATCTGATTCAGTTCAGTTTAGTTCTCAGTCCCACACTTTGGTCATGCGAAAAGCACCTCAGATATTTCGGACCTAAAAATGCGGCAAAAAATGCGAGGAGAATTTTTGATCATGTAATTGCAGGTCTTTTTCAAAGCCAAAGAAGCTCTCGAGAAAAGGCCAAAAATTGCGAGTTATTTTTCCCATACTCATCCCATTCGCATTTCGCTCCGTTTCCCACATTAAGCCAGACACACCTCCTGAGAAAAACTGTTCCAACTTCATTTGAATCTTGCTCCAGGTTCCTACACTTGGTTCCTGCACTCTGGAGACTCAATTAGTCCGCAAATAATTCCTCATCAAAGTTCACACGACACGAGAATCCCACCCTCACTTTGGATGGTAATTCCCCCGGATTCCCATTCCCAACATGAGCAACTGTTTCGGTTCTCGTGTGACTGTCTCGATTCCCGATTCTCGCGATGAGCTGAGAAGCCACCGCCTGTCCAGAACCTTGATAACTCCGCGGATCGAATGGTATTCCCACCCCTATATCTCCAGAGTAGACTACTATTTACTGTATCAGCACCTGCACTCCGTTGAATGTGTTTCTGATTTCGGGGTGGCTTTCGACGCGTGCCGAAGTGTGTGAGAACTGCAATTTGTTATTGCTCAACTGTTTGCCCACATTTGGGCTCTACAAAAGGCTGTCGACAACACAAATTTAATCAGTTTCATTTCAGTTGAACTGTTGTTTTGGCTTTGTTTTCAAAAAGTATCTGCGCCGGAAGACAAAAGGGCTTGCAATTCAATTAATCTTATTTATTATTATCATTTTCTTAAAAATTTACTTTACGCAAAGAGAAAGTAAAAAAAAATAAAGAACGAAAGAAAGAACAAATTTATTTCTAAGTTACTAACACGATTTGTAAAATGTTTCTCAAACAGACATGTACATTTGAAAATAAACTTGCGCTTGAATCTGCCTGTGAAATCCCAAATCTCTAGCTTTGTTTAGTCTCTTTTCTGCAAAGACGATTTTTTCGCATATTTTGAAAAGGTTTACATTAAAATTGCAAAAAATCGACTTGATTTTACAAACCAAGTTTTTAACGCAGTTTTTTAGTAAGCTAAGCACCAAGACGTTAAAGATATACCACTTTGAAATCGGATACTTAATAGAAAAGTTATAGACCTAAAACTGTCGAATTTTGGTCACTTTCTGCAAAGCTATTTTTCGGAAATTATTTAAAGAGTTAACTCGTAAAAATAGTAATTTATAATCTTTAATCAAAAAATATTAATGCAGGTTTTAAGAGGGTTAAGCCATAAGGCTTTGAAGGTATTCCACTTGGAAATCGGATGGCGGAAAGAAAAGTTATGGACTTAAAACTGCCGGATTTTAGTCACTTTTCTGCAAAGACGATTTTTCCGCAAATTTTGAAAGGGGTTACATCATTAAAATTGCAAAAAATCGACCCGATTTTACAAACCAAGTTTTTAACGCAGTTTTTTAGTAAACTTAGCACCAAGACGTTAAAGATATAGCACTTTGAAATCGGATACTTAATAGAAAAGTTATGGACCTAAAACTGTCGGATTTTGGTCACTTTCTGCAAAGCTATTTTTCGGAAATTATTTAAAGAGTTAACTCGTAAAAATAGTAATAGTAAAAATAGTAAAAATAGTAAAAATAGTAAGACTTTGAAGATATTCCACTTAAAAATCGGATGGCGGAAAGAAAAGTTATGGACTTAGAACTGCAGGTCTTTAGTCTCTTTTCTGCAATTTCATCCTTATGAAATTTAGAAAGGCGTAACATCATAAAAATTACAAGAATTCGGAGCAGTTATAGACGTGTATAATGTTAATGCAAAACAGTTTTATTTTAAGCTCATGATCAAATTTTTTCAAGAGGGCTGGGCTCTGGTTTTGACCAAACTACGATCATTTAGTCCGCTGTAAAGGCCCAAATGCTTTTCCTTTCGCCCATCTCAGAACCGATTTTTGTATGACACTGCAGTCATACCTGCTGACTTGCAAACAAAACAAACAAAATCATCATCATCATAGGGGAATAAAAGAAAAAAAACGATAAAAATATTTATGTTGCTTGATTTCGTTGCACCAAAAAAGGCATCGGCAACTCCCATTAAATTTCCCAAAAAGGCAAAAGAAGCCATGTCGCAGATTTTTGCCGTTTCTGATGCAGATTGCTGCTGTAGCAGATTGCTGGCGCCCACCAAGACGACGAAATCGGCGACCAAAGCGGATAATCCTAGCTATACGGCCATACCCACTAAAAGCCCACTGGTGCAGCGATTGTGGCATTTTTACAGATTTGAACAGGCCATCCCTTCTATCCCGTCGGTGATGGCGTAGATCTACTGTATAATAAATACAGAAGGAAGTATCTCAACACTGTATTTTATTGTTAAAAAAAATGAATATCTTCCTGCTTTTTTCTCACTTTTATATTTCTTATTTTATTTATTTCTTGTATTTACTAAAAAAAATAACAATTATATTTTTATCTTCTTTTAGCTTACCATGAAGAGGAGAGGACATGGCCTAAGAATTCGCAAAAAATAATTTAACTAACATATTAATTAATACAAACTTAAACAGCTCACCATTAATAAACAAGTCTGAGGCCAATTGGTATCGCAAAATCAGAGTCCAAACCAAGCTGCAGCATTCAGGCGACTGCCCAATAAGGAAACGGCTCCTCGAAGGCGATTTTCATCCAGTATTCTCCTGATTGTGGGGCCCTGAACCTCAAAGACTTTAAAGCTCCCCGTCTTGTAAGCGACAGCTGCCTTGCATTTCTTACAGCATTTTTGCCGCGACTAGTTTGCGGACTAGTCTAGTCTGCATCCCATCTTTTTTTTCTTCCAGAATCTCATCCAAACTAGGTTTCCAGCCCATTGCAGTTGTTTTAATTAAAGCTGAGCTTGATTTTTTACTTGCGTTGACCGAACGACAGGTGCAAAGTGCTTGAACAACACAGAACCATCAGAAACAGCCTTGAATAACATCTCTTTGTGATTTGAATTTTTCCAGGTGGTTGAATGATAAGTTACTGGCGTACAGGAACGGGAGTCTCAGACGAAAGGCTTTCCGCGCTGCTTTTGTGCTGTATATTACCCAGGACATCCTGCAAAAACATGTTTAACGATATTACTCCGATTTTTGCAAAATAGCTCGCCGTATACAGAACCAAAGTGAAGGAACGGCTGCTAGTACTTCTAACGACCAAAGCTATTCTATCCCCAACAGTGTTTTCCTCATCTTCATAATTAAATAAACGACCGAGCATTTGTATTTGTATTTCTGTATTTTTTTGGGGTCACACGCTCACTGACAAAAGCGGACAGGTTTTTAGCACAAATTTGCGTTGTTCGATGATCACTAACAGAAGCTAGCAGATACAAGGCGTCATTAACATTATGCTCACTGACAGAAGCTCGAAGACGCGGACAATACTTGTAATTTTAGTTGTTGTTGTTGTTGTAACAACAAATTACAACAACATCAAAAGTACAACAACATCAAAATTACAACAACATCAAAATTACAACAACATCAAAATTACAACAACATCAAAATTACAACAACATCAATATTACAACATCAAAATTACAACAACATCAAAATTACAACAACATCAATATTACAACAACATCAAAATTACAACAACATCAAAATCAAATTACAACAACATTTAAACTACAACAACAACAAAAATTACAACAAGTATCGTCTGCCCAAAAGTATGTTGTTGCCAAAAACTTCATGTATCTTTTAACTTCTGTCAGTGAGCAATTGACATCCCGAAAAACTTGTGCTACAAATCTAACAGCTTTTGTCAGTGAGCATTGCACAAAAACACTTTTTGAGTACACTCCAGCTTCTGTCAGTAACTAAACCATGTGTAATGCAAGAATCAAATAAATGCCCAGAATAATAAAACTGTAAGTAATGTTTTATTTTGATATAATCTATCAAAGTATATAAGCATATATAAAAATTTCTAATACTAGCATAGTATAAATTTGATATTAAAATAATCCTTAGGGCTAAGGTTGCTATTGTTAAATCTATGCTTTTCGCTGAGGAGCTTGGCAACTTTGTGCCGCTCCCATCTGAAGACTGATGCGTAGCTGATTGACGAGATGGAAAGCCTCCTGATTCTTTTGACCATATGCAAACAACTCCACCTGGGCTAGCATACCCATGATGTTGGCCAGATCGGAGCGTGGATCGCTTCCGGTTAGTTGATGGCTGGACTTGCTCAGAGGAGCAGAGGCCACAGGAATATTTGGTTGAATGCTGGAGGATATCGTTGGCGCAGGACTCACAGGATTAATTTGCTGGTTGTTGGAAGTGACAACTGGTGCAGGAGCAACGGGTAAAGGTGGGTGATGTTTTGACACTGGAGTCGCAGATATTACAGGTTGATAGCTTGAGGTTAAGGCGCGTGCGGGAGTCAACGGGTTAATGCCTTGATGATAGGTAGTGGAAATGGCTGCAGGGGCCACAGGGATTCCTGGCGCATATCTGGGTGGTGGGTAGCCAAAAGTGTTTGCTGATCCAGGAGCCATAGGCATGATGATGGTTGCGGATCCAGGTAGAGCAACTACAGGGGCAACTGGTGGATAACCCGCATTTGTATAATAACTGGGTATACTAAGTGGAGCCGGAGCATCGAATACTGATCGAATACTGGAGGTGGAAATCGAAGCAGTGGCTACAGTTGCATTACTCAGGTAACTGGAGGTGTTTCCCGAAGCAGAAGCTGGTTGATATCTCGTGTTGGAAACTGTCGAGGCAATTGCAGGGATAACTGGTGAATACCTAGAGGTATTTATTGCGCCAGGACCCACAGGAACAATTGGCTGATAGCTGGAGGCATTAACCGGGATGTTCGGTGGATATCTGGAGGTGTTAACTGATTCAGGGTTGTAGTTATCCAAGGTTGGTCTTTTCGGCTGTAAATGATATCCTGTCGATTCCGGCGTCAGTCTTCGCTTATCAGCTGCTTCCGATGGATTGGAAGTTTGAGTTTGTGACATCCGGTCAACTTGATCTTGTAATTGATTGGGAGTTTCAGGTGGTGCTATCAGATCAGTGCGAACGCGTATAAAATCAGTTGGGGCAGAAGTAAGAGGTTTTTTTTCTCTGTCCGTCTGTGCGTCGGCCAACAGCATTTCCTTTGACAGCGGAATGGCTTTTACAACTTCTTTTTTTAGGGAGTCGTTTATCGTTGAATTCAGTTTTGGGTCTTCATTTTTAGGCGGACTTGTTTCATTTTTTTCAAATGCTGGCACTTCTGAGCTAATAGCTTTACTTGGTTCGCTATTTTCTTTGGCTTCTCCATTTGTTTTTAAAGGCACTTCAGTATCGATCTTAATGGGCGCAGTTTGTGGATTATTAACAGTTAATTTCGGTTTAATTTCATTGTAACTTATTGGATTACAAGTTGGAGTTTCTTTGTTCATCAAGTCTATCGACTTGAGTTCCTCAGATTTGGTTTTTGCATCATTATGCGTAGTCTTTGGTTTGTTCTTTTCACCCAACAAAGTAGTATTTTTGTCTTCTTCATTTACAAAGTTTTCTTCGCTTAGGTCATCAATTATTATCAGGTCGGATTGTGTTTCTTCCCTAGCCGAGCCATTGGAGTTTGTTACTCCTTCGAGGTTCAGTTCTCTTAGTATCAGGGAGCTTTGCTTTCCGGTGCCACTGGCCACAGTCGGAAGGACCTTTGATTTCCTGACATACGTTTTTAAAGAGCGTCTTAAGGCACTAGGGGGACTTGTGTCGGACAGCGTCTTTTTGGGTGTCAAGAATTCCTTTATCGTTGTCTGTTTCCTCGCCTTGGAAGTGGTTCCTCTCTCCTCATCCACGCTATTCCGCTTCTTTAAGGAGGCAGCATCCAGTTTTCCATCTACATGATCCGCATAGTCCTTCAAGTTAACTTCGCCCAGCTCATCGTCGAGAATTACAATGGAGGAACTGGATATGACTGAATCAGAGTCCAAGGGTTCATTGTCCAGCATGCAGACATTGGGCTTCTCATCTTCTCCATCGCTACAGAGGTCCACGACAGCTAAATTCGTTGGTGCTTGAATCCCTCCTGGTTTCTCAACAGCTGCCTTAGCCGCCGTGTCTGGCTGGGCAGCCTCTTTCTGGTGCTTTATACCGTTCTTGTCGTCCAGACGTTTCAGCCATTTGGCCACAAAGACCATAAGATCTTTGAAAGACTCCGCAGGTAGCGACTTTTCCAGCTCATCCCGGCACCTTTTCTCCAGATAGTGACCGCTTGGGCCCTTCTTCACCTTCAGGTTGCTCCGACCAAAACGAACCAAGTGCTGCCAGGCCCTACGATTTGGGTGGATAACGAGAAGTTCAGAGAAAGTCTATAGTTTATGAAGTCATTAATACTTACATGGAATTCTTTCCCAGTTCGCTGCACCTTTGCATCATTGATCGCAGTCGAAAGATTTTTGAAGCCGGAAGACTGTAATTGATTCTCTAGTGAAGGTCACTGCATCGCTGACATTGTAAATATTGGTAAGTGGTTAATACAAAGTGATGATAATGTAGCCAATATTTAATTACATTGCAGTTTGGCATAGGCTGAATAAATCAAAAGGCGAAGAAAAACACTGTAGAATATATATCGAGGTCTTGAAAAATCCCTATATTGTTAAGATATGACTGATTAAAATATCTTTATATTGTCCAATAATGAAATGTATCTGTAATATCAAAAGAAGTGAAACTATAATAGTTATTTGAGTGTTGTACTACAAAACACTTACGATAAAATCAACCAGCTCTTCTACCAACGATGGTTGTCCATTTGAAAACAGTGCGGATATGAGTCCTGCAGACATGCGCATGCGCAGCACTTTTTAAATCCAGGTAGAACCGAAAAACTATCTCCTTTTTATCCTTCCTAGTGGAAGACCAAAACAATTTTGTGGAAGAGATGGGTTCGTGACTGTTTTTCCCAGCACGAACGGTCGTCGCTCAATTATATTTAAGGAAAACCCGGCCATAAAACAAGAAAAGTCAAATGGAAGTAAATTAAGGGTTTGTTTGTTCTCGAAAAGTAAAAGTGAGGGTCGCATTTGTATAAATTTTAACGCCGTGCGTGCTCGTGTCAAAATGAAAGAAATCTCTAAGTTATGCGTATGGCTTCATAAAAAACATATGGCTGTTATCCGATTTCCAACACTATTGGTGTTGGGCGCAATATTTAAATAAAAATTTTGAAATGCAGAAGAATGCAGTTCTTTAAAACTACAAAATATATATTTAATTGGGCTTCCGTATTTTGTGCAATTACTATTTGTTTTAAAATAAAAAGTAACTTAATTGTTCTGATTTCTCATTATTTTGCACCACTGTTCTCTTTTTTAGTTTTTTTTTTAATTCGTTTTTAATAGTTATATAAGCCTGAGTTGTTTGGTGGCAAATTTAAAATTAAAATGTAGTAGTAGCAAGACCTTTTTTTCTAAAGTTTTTTTCATAAGTTTAAATATGTATGCAATTAGCCCATCGATTAAGCGATTACTCGAAACGTAACAACACTTAAAAATAACCTAAAATCCAAATTATAAATGATTGCCCACTGCGCTTCCCTGATCTGCGCGGTTTATTCGCAGGTTGCCCATGCAGCCCTCAAACAGGATGTCCGCGATGGCCTTTCGGGCCAGGATGCGTTGCGTGGGCGCCATCTCCTCGTACTGAATGGCCCAGGATTTGGCCAGCACTTCGGAGGACTCGCTGAGAACTGTGTTTCGAGGTCCTTGTTCGTTGTCGGGCTGTGGTTGCGTTGAACAGGCGGGTTCTCTAATATCCAACGCATCTTCTACCTTCTCTTCCGCTTTGAGATCAGAATGCTCCATCCCATTGCTTGGGATCTCCTCCTCTGGCTCTATTAACTCCACTTTTGGACTGAGAAGTGAACCTTCTTCGGATGGTGGGACAACTGGCTCGTTGTCTTCCGTCATCAGCCAATCGCAAACGCCGTCCGCTTTGAGATCTGTGTTCTGCGGGGGATTTTAGTTTCATATGTATTTAAATGTGTGTATCGTTTCTATGAGCTACTCAACTTACGTTATTTTCCAGACGAAAGACCGCCCTCTGCCTACCCCCTCGACCTTTTCTAGTCCTGTGCTGAAAGGTCTCTTGGGTCAGGAGGAAGCCCATGTAGTCGTAGAACCAGAGAGTGGGCTTGCAGAGGTCCGAGTGCAGTCCCAGCTCCTTTTGCTTGAGGATTCGCATCTGCTCCCGCCTGTAATTTGTCCGAAAGATGTTGATACGTCTGCCCACCTCGGTACGTGTGGCATTTGGCTGGATCTCGCGAAGTTTCCGCTCCAGCAATTCGTAGGCCCGATTTCGTAGCTCCTTGTTCCGATAGTTAAAGCTGCGGACATCCCACAGCTCCGGCATTCCCTGATAAAGTTCGAGGAATTCTCGCCAGAACTGACGTTTGCCAGCACTAAAACGATCGGGCAGCGGAGCAGCCATCTACGGAGAGATTATTCAAATAAATTAGTATATACAAAGATTAAACAGTTTAGGAAACTCAAAAAATGTACATAGATGGTAAACATCTATTTGCAAAAGAACAAAGAAGAAACAAAACATTGTATACTAATTAAAAATTTAGCTAAATTGATTTCAATTTAAATTGCTATTTCCTTAAAAGCATGGACTTAAGTAAATCCTTAATTTTATAAAAAAAAACAAGAAAATAAATTGTATAAGCAATAATAAAAACATTGGAAAACAATTTACCTTAATTTCTTGTAAAATCTACCCTTTTGATGTTTTGCATATTAATTAAAAAATGTTCTAAAGTTGATTTTAAATACAAAATTAATTTAAATTTGAATTTCTAGTAACTTAATAACATGGTCTTAGAAAATAAGTAGAAACAATCTATAAACAACAATAAAAACATTGGAAAAGAAGCGTAAATATTTACCTTATTTTCTCGTTGGCCCAATCAGCTGTTTCTCTTTACAAGATTTTTGGCAGCTCTGGCAACTCTATCGGATTTGGAGTGCTGGAAAACGCGTCACTTACTCCCCGTTCTGTTATTGTTTTCCTGGGGACCGACGTTCTACAACGTTCAAGCGCCAATCACAAACTGAACTGATGGAGAACTCAATGAGCGGGTGTGTGTGTGTTTGTGTGCCTCGATTGAATGATTGATTAGTCGGCTGACGGGTCGATGTGTGCGTGTGCAAATGCGCAATAAATCTTCGGATTTTCTGCCTTATCATATCAGTGAAACAAAAGGTACCTACAAATAAATATGATTTGAAATTAATGTAGTACATTAAATTAATAAGTTGCACTGTTTATTGGCGATTTTGTAAGCAAAGAGAGTCAACTTCCCCCGCAATTTGAATGCACTTGTGTGCGAGAGAGGGAGAATAACAAAACAATAACAAATATTCAGAACTAAACTTAGGGCAGACATGCGCATTTCCCTAGTTTTTCCCAATCAAGATTGTCGACCTTTTCAGAAAAATGCTAAGTATTAACAATTCGGTTTCATATGCGTAATATGTAATATATACGGGTCGGAAAAAATTTCAAAAGTACTCGATTACCTGAAGATTGAATCTAATGATTGACCTCTTTTAACAGTTATTTTGGTAGACAATGCACCTCTCTCTCTCTCTCTCTCATTCGCTCTCTCGTATTTGTGTGTGTGGGAGCGTGGGTGGTATTTGATGACCTCCCGCCCGGCAAAGTAAAAGAAGAAGAAGCTGCACTAAGGGCAGACATGCGCATTCGTATATGTACATATAATTTAGCCGACTTTTTGTGCCGACCGTGAATAACTGTGAAAACATACAACATAGGTCAGTGTAATAGGCTTAAAACTATATATAAAACAAGACTCCAATTTAAGGATTATAAAGTAAGAAGTTTAATACTCTGGGGCCATAAAAGTGACGATAAATTTGACATTTGAATTGCGCAGAATTTTAAATAATGATGTAGCCCTTTAATTTGACTAGCTGAAAAAACGTATCATCTTATTTATTTGTATTCTTTCTAATTCGTATAAGGGTAGCGCCCTGCTGGGTAAAATCACTAACCATACAAAATGTTTGAAAATTCTATGAACGTATCCATATCTGCAGTGCCGCATTGATCACAAAAACGAATCAAGTTCTTATTCTATATCACATACCATAAAACCACTTAAAACCGTAGGATAGTGAATTTAATTTATCTCCGAAACCTAAATCAATGTTATTCTATTTCAGAACCATGGAATCGGAATCTTCAATATGCCGTATTTGCCTCGTTAATTATGATATGGTCAACAAAACAAGCTTAAGGAACATTTTGTATTGCACACAGGAGAACAAGCATTCAAGTATTCCCAGTGCTCGAAGAAATTCCGCTCTACTAATATTATATATATATTACGTTCTTTTTAACTCTTTGACTCTACGTGTATTGGGTATACAAACTTAAAACTGGAACAAGTTGAACTGAGAGTTTTTTTTGTGATGTGGGTTGGTTTGGATTCCATAAAATGTATAATTTCCGAAAGAAGAACTGTTAAGTTAGTTTATATAAGTTACACAATTTTAAATACTTTCTTTTACCCCGGGACTAACATTACATTTCAGGTCAAGACTCTTAGACTATCGATTTAATTGCGTTTATTTGGATTGAGTACAAATTAAGTTTACCTTAGATCTAGTGATTGATTGCATCCGACCGTACCGCATCTTTAAGACGCGGCAGTTTGCATACCCAATGCTCTTTGGCTGCAGCTGTTCATCCTTTATGCAGTGTGAGTCCTGTTTGGAGCATCCTACGAGGGGACATCGTCATCCATTTCCCGCATAACCTCATCGGCTCGTGTGATGAGGCCAATCAGCCGGTAGTTTTCCTTATACAGCGCAAACTCTTCTAGCAGTTTTAGATACTTGCGGGCGTCGGCACAGCTGATTACACTTGATCCGCCTCCTTGGCCATTGGATTCGCCATTGTTGTTGTCGTCCTGGGCGGGTTCATGGCGCCGTTTGGTTCCTTGGCGGGGATTCAGCGACTTTTCAATGGCCGGAGGCGAACTTATCTTGCGTTGGCGCATCTGCTCAATATACTCCTTCTCATCCTCAACATTGGCGGCCAGAACCTCGGCCAGCGAGGTGACACTAGAGCGACCATTGTTGGCATCTTCATCGGGATCAGCGGACTCTTCGTGGTCCATTTCCGTATCCAGTTCAGCATCTGGCTCCTGCTTAATGTGCACTGTTGGTAGCTCATTTTCCCTTGAAGTTTGCAGCTCTACATCCGTCTGCTCCGAGGAAAGCTCGTCTGGATCCTTGGGCTCCGTTTTGATGTCCTTTTCCTGCTTGATCTCCAGTTTGGGCGGTGGCACCACCGGACCCTTGTCCTGCTGCTGGCTGGAAGGAATCTGTGTGATGCTTTGGGCCAAAGTTGCAAGTGGTATAATGGTCATGGTCATTGGCTGTCCCCCTGCCTGCGGCGGCACAATGGGCGTGGCCAGGAGAACTTTCTGGGACGTGCCTGGCGGCGTGTTTGTCTGCAGGGGTAGTCTAACGAGTGGCGGCAAGGGCTGTAGAGCTCGGGCCAGGTTCAGCTCACTCAGCGAGGGCTTGACATCAGGCTCCTCTTCTTCCAGTTCATCCTCCCTGCCGCTTACTTCATCGCCTCCATCCACATCCACCTCGCCATCCTCGTCTTCGCCGCAGCTGCGAGGATTGCTGCTCAGTGGGCTGCCCAAGCTGACCTCCTCTTCGTCTTCGTCCACTGGCTCGCTGTTTCGGGGCCCACTCTCTGGCATGCACTCCGACATGACGTCCTTGACGATGTCCTTGATCTGCACCGAATAGCCCTGCGTGTAGCCGATCTTCAGGAGCCGGGTGTCGCTGTGCTGGATGCTGTACGTGCGACGGAACTTGTCGCACCACTCCTGGTGCGGAAAGAAGTGGGCCAGGCCCATGGAGCTCTTGAACTGTAGCGCCATCTTCTGAATAAGTCCGTCGGAGATGCTAAAGTCCTTGTAGTACATCATGCGCCGTATCCAATCGTAAACGGCCTTTCCCAGCATCGAAACCCTCACGGTCTTCGTTTCCATGGTCTTGGCATCCTGACTCCGCCGCGTTCGCTGATCCCAGGCGTTTAGAATCTCCTGGCGCTGCTGTACGATCCGCTTGATCTGATCCGGACTGCAGTTGAACAGACGACCCACATGTTTGTACACCGGCAGCCGATCGTATTCCCGCAGGGCAGCCACCTTTTCGTTGAGGGCCAGGACATTCTTGCGCTTGATGCGGTTGTCGAAGGCCACCTTTTCGACCGCCGGCAGGCTGGGAGTGTGTGGTGTGGTCGAAGTGGGTGGTGCTGGTGGCGGCGGAGCTGGTGCAGGCGCAGGCGCTGTAACTGGTGGTAGAACCTCCGTGTCGTTTGCCTAATGACGAAAAAAAAATGGAATTGTCAGGACCGGGTGCTATGGCAAATACAGTCAGAACTATGTAAAACCACTAAAGAGGAGCTAAAAATTGAATTTATATACAGTGCTCGCTCCTACTTGGATTTTATGTACTTATTGATTGTGTGTTTGTTGTACAAAGATAGGAAAAGTATTTTGCATGTTTTAGTTCTAGTAAAGCAACTTTTGGCATTAGAAATGCATGTTTAAGTTCTAGTAATATTTGCATTTTACAATTTGTGTACAAGTGCATTCTGGCTTTATTTTAGTATTCAGTGAAAGGATAAATTGCAAAATTGATTTATCTTAAATGTATGCTTACTTTTTCTAGATAAGCAAAATAAATCTAGGTAAAAAAAGCTTTTACAAAGTTTCAATGTCCTAATAAGTGATTGGAATTACTACAAAACATGCTAACTTATGACTCAAACAACTAGTCGCAAGATCTTGTCAATTAGACTTGATAATTTGGAAAAGTCAAGCAAAATTGCGATTTTGTCACTTAATTAAAGGGCTTCACTGCGGCTACTTGTGATTCAAAAAACAAGTCGCAAGATCTTGTCATTTGGACTTGATTTATTTAAAGCTACAATAGTTCTGCGCATAAAATTTTAGTGGAAGCTTCACTGTGGCCACTTACCTTCTCCTTGTTGTTGGGTTCCTTCTTCGAGGACTCCTTCAGCTCCTTTTGCCGTTTCTCCTCCCGCTGCTCCCTCATCACCCTTTGCAACTTGCGTTTTTCGCGTATTCGCATTGTTTGTGCTTTCCCGTGCAATTTACACGGCAATTGTTGTTTGTTTTTGTCTTGTTGTTTTTATTGTTGTTGCTGCTGCGCCCACTCAATTTCGCCCACCCCCTTTCTCCTTCTCCCACACTCTTTCAATCACTCACTGTGTGTGTGTGTCCGTTTGCTTGTGTGTGTGCGATGGCTACGATTATGCGCGTTGACTGCCCAGCGAATTCAACTCATTTCGTCATTGTTTTGCTGGCTTTTCTATGGCCTTTCCGTTTGCTTTGGCTTAATTCGCCTCCGTTTTTTTTGCCTGGGTCTTATAATTCACTTGCTGATAGTGATTTTCCAACTGGCCGTGCGCTGCGCTTCTGTTTCCGATGTCCGTGTGAACTAGACGACGACCCATACAAAAATAGCTGCCGCTTTATCTCGGCGTTTTTTTCTGCCGCCTTTTTCTCTCGCTCTCTCTCCCAGTAGCATGCGCAACGTGGGCAGCTAGAAAGAGAGCGAACGTCGCCGTGTGTGTGTGCGTGTGGCAGCTGAGAGGGTGCAACTGCGCATGCGACAACATTACTGTTACTTTTTCGATGTGGCAACGCCGCAAGACGATCGTATTTTTATATAACGCATTTAAGGAGGGATTTAAAAAATATTTACGAAAAAAGGGACCGTAATCATTTTTTCTCAAATATAAGAAATTTGATTATCTTATTTCTGTCACATACAAAATAGGGGTAAAAGTTACAGTTTTAACTAACTTTAAGATTTCCAAAAAAAATATTAATTTATTTTTTCAAATATAAATGCAAATAAAAGAAAGCAATTACATACACACAGTGTATACTGATATACAAGAAAAACAATCCAAAAATATATAAAATAACAATTTTAAAGACCATCTTCCAAGTTTTAGAGACAATTTTAATTTTGCTTGTAAATATTTCTTGTTCGAAACAATATTCTTCAAAGTTATTTTGAATTAGTTGAGACTTTACACCGCAAATTGAAGTACTTCTGATCCAAAAATAACAAGTGCCAAGACATTTCAATGATAATCTTTATTTATTTTTCATCACCTCCTTGCTAGTCGGTCAACCGAACTTTGTGAAGTGTCGGAGGATGTGCGACATGGCTGCAGGATTATCGGCGGGTACCATGTGACCTGCACGGTTAACCCAGAACATGCTAAAGTTACCATAGGTCTTCTCGTAACCCTCCAAAACTCGATCCACGGTGATTCCAACGCGAGAAGCGGCCTTGTACGAATCCTTGTCGGTCCATTCCATGTCGGCGATCCAATTGACGGCACCCGGAGTGGCGCAGATCAGGTCAAGACCTCCGGAAAATACACCCACTTTCACAGTGGTGTTGCTCAGCAACTCACCAACTAACAATATCAATAAGATTAATATTTTTTTCATTGAAGGTTCTCTACACACATCTTTCAAAACTATTCCGGTGGTATTTAGAATATCATTAAATTTGTCAATTTAAAAAATCTAAATTCCCAATATAAATATACAAAACTGATTGCTCATTTAAGGAATTTAGGTTGAAAGTATTGAACAAGGGTGGGATTTGATAAAAGTGAACGGGGACTTACCAACATCCACGGCGGGCTTCATGAAATCTCCCATCAACTTGCTGAAGGTGGTGCCACTCTGGGCGCCCCACTTGACTCCGGAATCGATTCCGAGGGCTTTGGTGACAGGTCCCAGCATCAGATCCTCCAGAATCTGGTCTCGGTCTTCATCCACGTCGAATTTCACCAGTGTGCGGTACATGAGCTCTAGGAAATCAGTCAGTTAGGATCAGTGCGGTAAGTATAACTATGGATCCTACCTTCTGGAGTCATGGCAGCTCGGGCCATGAGTCTGCTGTACTGATCACCCAGCGTCGGGGTCTCCACATTGTAGAAATCCACGCCCTTGGACTCACGTAGCACCACCGACTGAGTGGAGCTCCATTGCAGAGTGGCTTGGGTCCACTTCTCTCGATCCACAAGGTCCTTTGTCTTCAGAGCCGCAGCCTCAATCTTGTCATGGCCATCCTGATCCACAATGCCCAACTGCAGGAGGAAAGGAGCCCACGAGAGCACAGAGTCGATGGGGGAGGTCCAGGGATCTCCCAGTGCCACCGATACGAAGTTACTCTCGATCTCTCCACGCTGGATGGCGTACTCCAGCTCCAAGGCGAACTCCGGAGCCATCTTTCCGCCGTAACTCTCGCAGAAGATGTGCAACGGCACGGTCTTGAATTCCGGATGGCTCTTGTAGAACCCCTTCATCAGTTCCACCAGGTCCAGGGCAATCTGCTTGTTGGTAGTCGTATAGTAGGAGGATCCGTCCACATAGCTGAAACCACTGCCCACAGGATTGTCGATGAACATCACGTTCATGTCCTTCACCCAAGTCCAGTCGCGATAGCTGCCATCGAGCTTCAGAGGGCCCAATTCCTCAAAGTTTCCGTATCCTGTGGACGAGGCACCTGGTCCTCCTTGCAGCCAAATGGCCAGTGGTCTTTCCGTATAGCTCGAAACATTGGCCGTGGTGTAGTACAGCCAGTAGAACATATGAGCTCCAGTCCTGACATCCACAAAGCCCCAATCTTGCTCTCCAGAGCCATAACCTTTGCGAGCTGGTAACAATAAAAGGTTATGTAAAATATAAGTTTTTTTCTATTAATTAGAAAAGAAGCAACCTATTTTTAAACCATAATTCGTTGTTTGGATAAGGTTTCTTGTAAACGAGATTCCTTATTACATTTTGTTTCTCAACTACATCCCAATAAAAATGTTTAAAATGTTTTCTAAAATTTACTGCTAATTGAGTGCCTTAACAATAATTTCTAAAGATAAACCTTTGCAAAGTCAAGCTACATTTTAGCAAATATGTGTAGATGTATTTTCTTGGTCATAGAAAGATTTGTTTTTAAGAGTTCATGTTGTGGGGGTTTCTGAACTTGCTGATTAAACGCTTGAAAATAATTTAAAGAAATAAAGTTTGAGTTATTATTAACACTTTGTATATTGCTACCGCATAAACTTGTATTGTTGATAAGCACCGATTTCTTGGAACACTTTAGTGTAATCAAGCCTTTAGGTGTATTTAATGGCTGCACGAGTAGCCATTAGATACGGTTAATTATTATAGATATTGAAGATCGTTGATTTTATTGTCTAATAAGTGATGCCATTTTGATGTCTATCTCGTGAAAAGAACAAACTTAAATGAAATTTGTTCAGTATATATAATTGAAATAAACTCCTAAAAGTAACTGATATTTTTTTTTTATTCTTGTGCTCCGCTAACCTGCTCTACAGCTATTAAAACCGTTTGGTTTGGAACACTTTCTCGCTGATTAGCACCCATGATCGGAATATTAAATGGGCTACTCACCGTCAACAGAACCCAAGCTGGCAAAAGCGAGCAGAGCCAAAAGAGCTGTGATAAGCCGTCCAGTCATGGTGCGCCAAAATCAAGAAACACCGCTTGAAACCCAACCGAACACTTGGCAGTTCTAGCGCCGAATGATCGCTGGTGGATCCGCAATATCGAAGGTAAAGTTACTCTAGGCACCTGACACACCTGGAATTTGTAATCTTCGGACGGGGGAGTTGTGTTTGCAGAGTATTTATGGCCCTTCACTGGGCAATGGCGCGTCTTTTTTCCTCAATCTGCTTCTGACACTTGTCCGTTTTTGGCAAATCTTTGTGTCATAGATAGAGCCTCTAAGACTACCAAAATTGTCACTTAGATTGCATTTTGTTATCTTGAGTGGGTTTTCCGAAGCTTGTGCCATTTATCGCTCGCTGTTCGCTTGCAGTTTGTTCCATGTCATATATTTGGAATAGGGAAAAAAAACTAATTTTTAATTTTAAAGGATTAAATAGAATAAATTTTATAATTTTTAAAGATTTAGTATTTATTAAAATTGACACCTTACGGATTAAAGTTAAATAACTGGGACTTCACTGTCATGTTTCATGTTTCAATTTAAATAAGCTTAGAAATTAATGGTGTTATGCAATGGTTTTAGGTCGGGGCCTAGTTTAGTTATAATTGCGTCACCATTTTTAGCCTTCCAAAGTTTTTAAAATTGCATAATCAAAACTCTCTCATTGCATAATTATGAGCATTTGATCAAGTGTTTTGTAGAGATAAACAAAGAAAAAGTGGGTCTAGTTAAGCCAGGATGTATATTAATGTTTTGTACACTTAGCCTTTTAAGATAAAGACAACAAATATAATTAAACCATAGAGTATACAAAAGTTTTGTTTATTAATTTCAACAAAACAAATTTATCCAAAAGTGGTAAACTCTCGGAGGACGTGACTCATGGCCGCCGAATTGTCCGCCGGCGCCATGTGACCACTTCGGTTGATCCAGAACATGGTGAAGTTGCCGCCCGACTTTTGATAGCCCTCTAATATGCGATCCACGGAAATGGCGTTTCTTGGAGCAGCTAGGTATTCGTCCCTGCGGCTCCAGTCCAGTTTGGCTATCCAATTGACAGTACCCGGAGTGGCACAAATCAGGTCCAGGCCACCGGAGAATACGCCCACCTTCAGGGGAGTCTTCTCAAGCAATTCGTTCACTGAAATGCTCACAGTTATGAATATCTCTCAAAAGTATATTATTAATATATTGGTCCTTGCCTATGTGTATGACGGGCTTCATAAAGTCGGTTCTATGGATGTCGAAGGTAGTACCACTCTGCGATCCCCAGACGACATTCGAGGGAATTCCCAGGGTTTCGGCCACAGGACCTCGCATCAGATCCTCCAGCAACTTGTCGCGATCCTCATCGATATCGTACTTTACCATTGTGCGATATAGACGTTCTGCAGTTAGAATTTCAGGAGCAGGGTTAAATGGATAAAGTCTTATATGAAAAAAAAGGAAATCACCTTCGGAAGTCAAGGACATTTGCCGCTGGTAGAGACCTCCCTTTGTTTCCTTAAGAACGTTGTAGAAGTTTACGCCCTTGGAGGCCTTCATCACCTCCCACTGGGTGTTGCCCCACTGATAGGTGGCCTGGATCCATCGCTCCTCATCCACCAACTGAGCCGTAAAGTTCGCCGCCTCTTGGATTGCTCTGTATCCCTCGTGATCCACAATGCCCAGTTCCTTCAGAAAAGGTCCCCAGGCGAGCACAGAGTCGATGGGTGAGGTCCAAGGATCGCCCAAAGCCACCGAAGTGAGATTGCTCTTCACCTCTCCCCGCTCCTTGGCGTAGTAAAGTTCCAGGGCAAATTCCGGGGCCATCTTGCCGCCGTAACTTTCGCAGAAAATGTGCAGCGGTACCTCCTCAAATTCCGGATGCAGCGCATAAAAACCCTTCATCAGCTCCACTAGATCCAGAGCAATTTCCTTATTGGTGGCCGTGAAGTGAGCCGTGTTGTCCACATAGCTGAAGCCACTACCCACGGGATTGTCGATGAACAGGACATTCATGTCCTTCACCCAAGTCCAACTGCGCCAATCGCCGTATAGATCGACAGGTCCGAGTTCTTCGAAGTTTCCGTAACCCGTGGATGAGGCACCAGGACCTCCTTGAAGCCAAATCGCCAGTGGTCTTTCCGTATAGCTCGAAACATTGGCGGTGGTGTAGTACAGCCAGTAGAACATATGAGCACCAGGACGCACATCCACGTAGCCCCAATCCTGATCTCCAGGTCCGTAGCCTGGCTTTCCTACAATTTACAATTCGATAGCTATTATATTAGTTTTTCCATTTAAAGATAACACTTGATTTATTATTCCTACCATGAACCAAGGCGGCGAAAAACGCCAAGAATGTTACCAGCCAAATCGACATCTTCAACTGGGAGTGAAAATGGGGTTTGGGGCTTTATTTAAAGGGTAAGCCATTATCAGTAGCAGTGTCCATCAGTAATAGTTTTAAAAAAGTGATAGACACATCTATCGAACTGGTTCTCTGCAATCTCCGTCTCATCATGGATCGGTATTATAATGTCTGAAATTCACAGTAACCAACACAAGCAGTTCTGCTGTCATTATTTATATGTATTTAAAAGTTGAACAGCGTCTGTTTAAAGTATTTTCCAGCAATTTCTTTACTAGTTAGATTAATACACAATAATGATAATGAGCACTTGCTTTAAAATGTGGATGATAAGTTTTTTAAAGTAGGCTGCGGTCCCCGCAAAAAAAAAAGAAATAATAATCAATTGAGAAAACTCCTTATTCTTTTAATCTTAATATGATCAAATTAATACTGACACTTTTTTATTTTCTGTCCTTGGGATATTCCTTCAGACTCTCGTAAAAAAATGTATCTTCTTCAACGAAATAACATAGTGTGATCAGCAGTTTTAAAAGTAGACCAGAGTATGATAAGAACGGATAAGAAAATTTAAATTCGATGAATTACCAATAAATAATCGACTGCGATAATGTTTTAAATTCTGGCAACGCTGTGATGGACATTGTTTTTGCAAGAACAGCTGTTGTCGCTTTGTTGTTTTCGTCGCTTTGTGTCTGCAGGTGCAAACTAATAAAGTAATTGGATTAGTTGGGGATAAATCAAAGCGAGTCAAAGCCATGGCCACGATGCGCATACCCAAACAGAAGGTGATCCTGTGCGGCGACTACGGAGTTGGGAAGAGCTCCTTGTTCCGGCGATTCGCCACCAACACCTTTGTCACGGATACGGATCGCAAGTCCACGCTGGGATTGGACCACATCGATAGGGAATACAGCGTCAATGAGAAGCAAATCAAGGTGGGTTTTAGCTAAAAGTTACCCAAAGATAATAAGGCATAGGTAAACTGATAGCCATGGTGGCGTCCTTACAAAAACTATATTGGTCCCCGAATTCTTAAGATTAAGCTGAAATATGTATTCTTAATAATTCTCAAGGGCCGTCTATACTTATTTTACCTTAAATTTATAAACACATTTTCTTTTTTTCAAGAAATAAATTTTTGCACTTGGCTATTTTAAAACACTTTTTAATAATTCTCAAGGGCCGTCTATACTTATTTTATTTAAATTTATAAACACATTTTCTTTTTTCCAAGAAATAAATTTGTGCACTTGACTATTTTAAAACACTTTTTTAAGCATATGTACTTAGGCGAGCTTAAAAAGATATACCTATTAAGCGTATGATAACCCATTGATAAACCCGCTCCAATCGACAGCTCCAACTTTGGGACACTGGTGGCATGGAGCGCGTGGCATCGGTGACCTCCTCGTATTATAAGTTCGCCGAGGGAGCTATCCTGGTCTTTGCTTTGGACAATGCTGCATCGTTTCACTCGCTATCCCAGCACTTGCTAGACATTGTGACGTATGCGGAGAACGCCAAGATCTTCATTTGTGGCAACAAGAGCGATCTGGAAGGCAGGGAGCCGGAGGTCAGCGACGAGGAGGTGGAGGCGTTCTGCGAGCAGTGCCACTCGTTGATCAGTGCCACCTACAAGACCTCCTGTCGCAGCGGTGCCGGCGTGGAGGAAATGTTTCGCGACATCTCAAGGCAACTGGTCCAAGCCAATCGCTCCAAGATGGAGCTACAGGCTCTGGAGCACAAGAGTTTCCAGGTGGACACAACGGGCAGCAGTGGGGCGATCAATGAGGAGGATGGTTCCTCCTGCGGCTGCTAGCAGTTGGGGAACATTGAGTTTGGCTAGGTATTCACACTTCCATTGGCCAGGCTCAATGCCCCATGCAGTGATGCATTTTTACTGTTTCCTTTATTTATTAACAGTTCTCGGCTATGTTTATGGTTTTTAGATACATGTTCATTTCGAATTTATGCGAAAAATACGTCCCGAATGCAAACACGAGTCATAGAGTAGGATTAGTACTATTAAACAGACGCCAAACATTAACCAAGTAAACTTTGTACACGTAAACTAGGATGGGTTAATACACGTAAAAATTAAAGAAGTTCTACAGAATTTTGAGTTGAAATCAAATGAATGAGAATAAACTAGTATCCTTAAAATACAAAAGCTTTTAAGAGCAGAATAACTTAATATGAACTTTATGGTTATGTAACTTTAATAACCTAAGTAAATATTTTTAAAAAGTTCCCTATCCTTGGCTATAATTTTACACTCTTAATGAATAAGTAAAAATGATGCGCATTGAAAGTAATGAACCCATCCTGTCGTATATAGATTAGTGCATAAGTCTGCAGCTTTCTTCCACAGAATATCTCGTAAAGATACAATTTGCTAAACAATAAATAATCAATTCACAAAACTCTGGAATGGGAAGTCGATTCTACACCCTCTAAATTTGGGCTAGGTAAAGGTATTATCTTTGGTTTCGCAGCTTAAATTTCTACGAGGTGACGGAGCTGGTGGAGCTGGGTGCAAAAGTCAAATAAAGACTGACACCTACGGCCACCACAAAGCAGACACCCACACCGTACAGAACCACCTTCTCCCTCAAAGCTCTCAACATCATGGTGTTGAGCGTGCGGGAGGCTCTGCCTAATTCGGCATTGGTTTCCCGAAGACGTGCCCTGGCCCCTTGTAGAGTTTCCCTCTGATGATGAAGATCATTTAGGACCTGGGCGCCCAGTTGCTCCGTTTCCACAGCCACTCTGTATCCCTCGGTCAAGCGATTGCCCGTTCTTTCGATTCTTTCCGAGTTGTCCAGCAGGCGCTGCCGTTGATCCGTGCTGATGGACACATCCTCGTAGCTGTCACCCAAGTCCAGAGTGGTGAATGCATTCGACTGGGCCTTCTGCTTGTCCTTGGTCATCCGGTATTCCGCCTGCAGGCGTTTCAGTTCCGCCTGGGCCACCTGCAGTTTGCCATTGAAGCTGCTCCGTTGTCCAGGATTCAGTTCCCTCACCTCCAGACCCATCTGCTCCAGCAGTTCCTGGGCCTCGGGCAAACTGTTGTCAATCTTGCTGCACAAATCATGGCGTTCACCTGGGGCGAAATTGGGAAAAAACTAAACATAATGTCCCTGGAAAATCAACACACACACTCACTGTTGTTGTTTTGCTGCTGTAGTCTTCCAATATGGGCCGTTATTTCGGCTATTAAAGAGGCATACTGCTGTTCGTATTGCTCCAACAGCGACATTTGTGCGGTTTAATTCCTGTTGTTTTTTAATTTGATTTGTTTAGCAGCAATTTAAGGATTTTATTTTTTCGCTAAAAAAAAACGTAAACATTGGTGGAGTGTGGCCGAGTTATGGGTTGGGTAAAAATCCTGACGTATTCGAAGAGCTTGGTCACTCTGATTTTAAGACAGCATTGCCAGACTTATTAATAAATAACTGTCGATTTCAAGGATTAAAGGTAAGTTCTTTGAAGCTGTTTATTTCCAGTCGATTCAACGGTATTTGGCAATCAGATAAAAATATTTTTGTTTTTTAACTGGAGTACTTTGGGCCTAAAAATCTTCTTGATCCCCATGAACTTAGTGATTTAAAGTGAAAGACCCCCTATTCAGTTTTAATTAACAAGCAAAATGTTGCATCATTATTAAAATTCCATTTTAATGTTCTTATAGTTATTAATAAATTAATGAATTATGTTCAGCTTTATGCGAGTTGAGATTCTTCGTAATCCTAGACTTCTCATTTGGTGGTAGTACGAATTAATAATACTACTTGATACATATGTACATTGTTCATCACATTATTGTTTATTTGTGCTTCTCCTGCGATACGACCCTTGCATCTTAACCGTCGGCAAGCGTGGCCTTGTCACCTTTGCGGAGCACCAATTCCAACTGGGAAAGCAGACCAATTGCACGGAAGTTTTCCTTGAAGAGCACAAAGTCCTCCAGAGGTTTTAGGTACTCCAAGGCCTGGTGATAGCTTTCCAATTCCTTGAGCATGGCCAATGATTTCTTATCCTCGAGTTCAGGGGACGATGAGTGGCCATTGGTACTGCCTCCTCCATTCGATATCTTCTTGGGCGAGGCGGGTGCAGAAGAGGGTGCTGCTTTGGCTGGAGCCGGTGAGTCCTTTCCTTTGGCAGAGAGTGCGGGTGTGGACTTGCCACTCGGTCCGCCTGCCTTTGGGGCATTCTCCTTGCTACTGGCACTATCCCTGCCCCCGTCATTGTTGTTGTTCTGCTCCTTGGGACTGCAGCTCCGGCTGTCCTTGCCGGTTAAAGTGGATTCTGCGAGGGGAAGCGGTGGCGATGTTACCGACGAGTTGATCTCCTGCACTTCATCGTCATCGGGCGACTCCATTTTGGGCCTCTTGGCCAACTGAACAGGCTGGAATGGACTCGTTCGCTGGGGAGGAACATTTGGCGGCAATTGGGGCTGAAAAGGTTCCCTTTGCGGTGGCATGGTGGGTGGAAATTGCGCCTGCTGCTGCATCTGTTGCTGCTGCAGTTGCTGCTGCATTTGCTGCTGATGCCTTTCGAAATAGAAGTCATTAAAGCTGGCGAATCCTGGGTGCGGTTGCGGAGGATGTCCCGGATGTCCGGGAAATGGTGGCCAAGGATGACCCATCTGCTGTTGCATGTGCTGCTGCTGCTGCTGCTGCTGCAGGGCAAAGTGTTGTTGTTGCTGCTGCTGCTGCTCCTGGTAGCTCTGCTCCTTGACATCCATGCTGTCATCATCCTCTTCGTATTCGCCATACTGCTGCATATAGGTCATGTACTGCTCGGGCATCTCCTCCAGCTTGGCCACTCTTTCAGCACTGGCGGGCGGAAAGAGATGGGCCAGATCTTGGACTATGTCTGGAATCCACAGGGAGGATCCGAGGGGCTTCAACTGATTGCTGGCCAGCTTCTGGGCAAATCCCTGGAGGTGGGTCTCCCGGAAGCGATTCAACCAGCGATTGTCTGCTATGAAGGAGGTGCTACCCACGACCTGCCTCGCATTCTCCGCCTTATCCTTGATCATGCCATGAGTGATGCTGCCTCGCAGCTGGGGATTAATGTTGGCTCTGACCAGCCATTCGTAGACCACGGCATTGATGTAGGCGCACTTCCGGCTCCTCTCTATCTCCTCCACCATGGCCTGTTGCTCCACGGCCTCGAGATTAGAGGGTACCTCCAATCGCAAAGTGGGCAGAGCATTCGACTGCAGTCGCCTGCCGCCCAAAACACTGGGGTCAAAGTGCAGGGCACACACCACCGGCTTCTTGAAGGGCACAATCCTACGCAAAGAGGCGTGGCACGCCTCCTTCCACAACTTGTGGAATGGGTTCTCCGGCCGTGGAAAGGCGAAGAACTGCATGCTGGGATGCTGGCGCGAGTTGGACAGACAACCGATGATGCAGCAACGCCGAATGGTCGGCATCTCGACCTGCGGATGGAATTGTTGTTGGCCCCGAATCTTAAATGTTGAGGTGCTGGCGTTGCTCACGCTTCGCCAGGCCACAAAATGGAAAGAAAATTAAAACAACGTCACCGGAATCTGAAAGAGAAGGTTATGAAAATATTATTGTTGTTGTTTTAGAACACCATAGACAACAGTGGAACATTGTTTTGATTTGCCCACTTTGGAAAGATTTGTTGAATTGATTAAATGCGGTCTGGCAACTTTGAATCCTCTGTTTTGGCGGTACGTAGGCAACAAGTGTTTGCACCCGGCTTTTGATTAAAAGACTGCATTTATCTATATTAAAAATTAAGCAATATTACTTAATTTATAATGAAAGCTAGTATTACAGGTAGTCAGTTTACTTAAGCCTTGCTTAAGTATATATTTCTAAAAATGAGATACATCTTTATTATTTTGAAAAAAAAAACAATTTTGGTAATGATAATATTTTTTAATTATTGTATTACTGATTTTTTTATTTACTTACTAAGAAATAAAGACTATTTTGCAAGCAGCAACAAAACTAACTTATTGATTTTATAAACAACATGTATAGTTTGATTTCGATTGAATCATTTACATAGGTAAATTCCCCGTTCGATTTCAGATTCTCAGAACTCAGATATTTCAATGAATCAGCATTTCGAGAAGGACAACTATCATAAATGCATAATGAATTCGATGAACAAGCTATCTCGTGAGACTTGAAACTTGAGCTGTAGCACATGACTCATCAAAATATTGCCGACCCAAAATCATAAATACATAAAAATATATCAGAGTATCTTATATAGACAAGGCCTCGAGGCCTGAAAATAGCATCTGCCAATAGCACTTCAGAGAGTTTGAGTACGCAAGAGAAATACGAGGGCAGATAATGATTTAGATATACACCACACTACAGAAAGCTTTCAAAGTGCTGATAGTATGCCTTCGGAAATCGATACAGCCCCCAAAAAACCAGAACCAAAGCCATACCTCCAGAACCTCACAACACACTCCCACTGGTATCTTGTACTTCATATCTTTCAGCTACACACCACTGGAGATTTCAACAGAGGTGCCTGGCTAAAGGGAACGACTCTTGGCCGCGCCCCTTATCGAACGCCTCCAGAGTTTCGGAGCGACAGAGATACATCTCTAGATCTCAGCTGAGTCATGGATCCAAACCCACCTGGCTGAGTCAGAGCCGGTCTTTGGATTAGCACAACCCCCCAGAGATCGAGATCGAGATCCAAATGACTTAATGCGAACAGCATGTCCGTTTCATTTTTTTCTCACACTAAAATCGGGTCAAACAACTGAGATTTATGTTCTTTGTATTTGGATTTGAGTTTATGATTTGACTTTCACTATACTATAAAAGTGCTTACATGATTTTTAGAAAGATTTTTAATAAAATCTATATTAACAATCATATACATTTATTATTGTCATTATATTAATTAACATTACAGAAACTAAACTATATAAATAATAGTTAATAGTATATCAAAAGGGGAGTAACTGTTGCTTAGGGGTGCATAAGTTAATAACTTTATACTACTTATCATAAGTATGATAATTAGATCGAGAAACTTATATTTATTTACTTTTTCTATTGAGTTGTTAATATTGTCTTACTGCTATGATAACAAAAACAAAATCAATTACTGTTCTTAAGAATTTCTAGTCATATATTCGTTATCTGTTAAAATCGAAAAGTATATTTAGAAAATGGAACTGAAATAGATATTGCCTACGAGAAATCTTTCAATTTTTTAAAATTAATATGACAATTTGAGTTGGCTAATCTCAGGATCCGTTTAGATTTGCTAATAATGAAAATATTTCCTTTGTTACACTCATTACGGAAGTAAGTGCTAAAGATTTAATGTAAATTTTACAGATACGGATGCCCAATTCCCAGGGTGGTTGACTCGAGGTTACGTCCGGTGGGGGAAACACCACTTTCATCCATTTCCCAAGTTGTTGACACGGATTTACGGAATTGGGTTTTATCTCCTCGGCCAGCTTAGGGGTTGCTCACTGTTCCATCGCTTTTTCTGGCTGATTCTGATTCAGATTCCGATTCCCGTCCCTTGTTGCTGTGCCTCGGGCAGCTGTGCGCTCTACTTGCGCAAAGTTTTTGTTCCGGAAACTTCTTGGCAGCAGCGCTGCCAACGTCAAAGTTTCGCAGCCCGAGAAACCCAAACTCAGTCGAACCGAAGGAACAGGAATCCAAACCCAAGCCCAAGCCCAAGGAACCCTTCCACTTTTCCATCTTGAAGATACTCGCACCTTGACACACACACACACAACGCGGCTGCGCTTCGTCTATGTCTTGGACAAGTGTGTGTGTGTGTGAGAATCTGTGTGTGTATGTGGATATACACACGCACACCAAGGCATGGTCGAGTGCACTACACCATCAATTCCAATTCAAATCTCCCCTGACTGACTCGCTTTATAAATGGTTTTATATTTCCTTTTATGTCGCTCTCTATGGCCCAAGCTATGGCTATTGCTATTGCTATGGGTATGGCTATGGCTATGGCAATGGCTCAGACTCTGAGTATGGCTATATATTTACAGCAGCGGCCAAATTAATAGTGGTCGGTTTTCAAAAGTTTTCGAGATTAACAAGAAACGATTTTTGAGAAAGTTAATCAAATTTAAAAAAATTATATAAAAGAATAGTGGTTGGTTTTCCAGAATTACCACAGAAATCTTAATGTCTTGAAATAAAATTTTTGATTGGGGTGTATTATAAATGTTTGTTATACTCAAAGTTGTTTAAAGTAATATAAACTACATTTAAAATATTTCAACATTATATTTGTAGTTATTTATTTAATTTTTAAAACCGATTATCGTTAAGTTTTTTTCTTCAAATTCTTAAAATGTAATATTGGTGTAGATAAAAAATGTATTTTAAGACTGCCTTAATTTCCATTAGATGTTTTTGCCAAGATATGGTTAATTTTGATACTTGATAAGGCTGCAATTTATAGAAAAACTTTTTCTAAAAGTCTTAAAAACTTTAATGGATATTTTGTTAACGCCGCTATTGTTTTGGCGGCGCCTGTAAATATATACAGAGCATCGGATGCGGACGTTGGACGTGAATGTAGCTCCAAGTACAAGTATCTCGACATCTAAGCTCGCTCAGTTCAGTTCGTCTGTTCAGTTCTTGCCTTTCTTTCCCTTATATCGATTGGCACTTTATCTTAATCGCCTCGAGAGTTGTCCCTCGCCAGCCCCCGAGGGGATTCCCCGTGCCAAGTCCTCCTCCTCCCCATCTGCAGATTCCGAGTCCGATGATTCCCCTCCCACAGACTCACCCTAATGGCCGCCTATGTCGGCTGGGCTGCCTTAGCTCCTGGGTTCTTCGTGAAATTTCGTGCAGCGTCATTATCATCGGAGCCATCAAGATGATGCCTGAGTCAAAGTCCCTGTGCAAGTCGCAATCCCAATCCCATTTCCAGTTCCCAAACCAAGCCAAACCAAACCGAACCGAACCGAACCGAACCCATGGGTTCCCTTTGTTGGCCACATATCTTTTGTATCTCTGTAGCGCAGTATCTCCAGCCATTGTTCGCCTAGGAAGTTTTCGGTTCGGTTTTTTGGCTCGCTCGGTTCGTTTATACGTTCTACCTACCTTCTGCCTCGCGCCCTTTTTCGTCCATACTTTATACTATACTCTATATATACAAGTAAGTATAGGTACTCCCCCGTCCCGGATTCCCATGCCAATGCCCATACCCGTCGCACTGGGGATTAAGTTGGTAGTTTTGGGTTTCACTCGGTTCACGATGTCAGGTAATTTTGCGATTGGTTTTCGTCTTTCTTGGGCTCGGGCTCTGGCATGAGTTTTACTTATTTATCTTATATCTCAAGGTGGTTTGGTCGGACCTTTTTGGGCTGGTTTAGCAGCAGCAGCGCATAAATGGATGTTATATAGCATGGCATGCCATGATTCGAATTTCGGTCTGTGGTCTGTCGCTGTGTTTGTAAGTTTGTTCAGATTTGGAGGGGAAGATATACTCATGGGAATAAAGAAACAGACTATGTCATGCTGGGTACATATACTATGTGTGTTTGTATCTCAGTTTTATGTCTATGAGGTCATTAATGTGAGATATGGATATCAAATGCCTGACAGGGTTTTATATGACGTTATATTGGATGTGTTGCTTTCGAGTGAGAATTATTGATTTTGAGTAGTGTTTTTCATCATATAATACTTGTATATATGTTGTCGATATTTTGAACGATACTTTAACTTAACTAAAATAACAACAGTTTCTAGCAAAATATATGAATTACCCAATTTTTCTAATGGGATAAAAACATCATTATTTATTCATTAAAGGGAAAAAGAAAAACTTATTTTCAATAAATACAAATGGTCTTTCACAAATAAAGTGTTTGGGCTATTCAGTAAATACAAAATATTTTTAAAATATCGAACTGTGTTTTATAGCCATTTGAAAACGCAACTTTTTTGAAGGCCACCCTGTACAATTGAAAACTTCAATTCTTCGAGTAATAAAGCACTTTAGTAATTTAAGCTATTAAGATGTTTAAAATAGGTAAGTAAACACTTATAGACACTTTATTATGAACAGGACTACTTTAATTCAAATAAGTGCCTATGAATAGGCAGCTTAACATATTAGTCATGCCCCATTTAATCCAAAAACATCCATTTCCGCCCCACTGACACACCCTGTTCAATTATCAATTGTCCTTGGCCGTTTCAAGGACTCTCTTGCCGAGGAGCACGTTTATTCAATTGGCGCCAAATCAGCGGGCAATGTACCCTTATCACACTCGCAGCCACACACAAACACAGCCCAGCCACTCACTCGCCAGCCAAACACCAAAATAAATAAACTGGCGTAAAATCAAACAAACGCGAAAAACAAAAACAAACCGCTCTGCCGCCGCGCCGTCTAAGGAACTCAAATAAAAAAAACAAAAGCGTGGATTTTTCAAAAGCACACACACCAACACCAACACAACAAAGCGCACATGCAAATGCGGCTTTTTTAATTGCAAACACACAATAACCATAACAACAAAGGCGTCGGCAGCGGCGGCGACAGAATCTCAAGACCCCGTTTGTTTACATCCCACTATTCACATGGCGTATTATCACCCATCCGCCCAGTGGCCACTACTACTCACATCCAGTGTCACCGAAAAACGCAAACGCGTTCAGATATATCCACATGCGCGGGTCTAAAAATCCAGGCCTCTATAAGTATGGTATTGTCGCGATAAATATATACGATATTTCGAACCACTCGGGAATCAATTGGAAAAAACCTGCGGAACGCGATGCGTGAACCACCGCCAACGAACGTTCAGCACAGAGTGTACGAAACTAGCGACATCATCATCGCTACAGCTACAGCTACAGCTATGGCTACGGCTAACAGCCACGACTCGACGAACGACCCCGACCGACTCGTTTTCCCATCTATAGGAAATATTTAATCCCAAACAAGCCATGCCAAACCAAAAACCTAAGGCAGTGGCAGTGGCAGCGATGCGGCAGAGGCGCCGGCAGCGCAGCAGCAGAAGTTGAAGAAGCGAAGAAACGACGGCAAGGACGGCTGGATGCCAAGAACCTCTCGACCTGAGATGCCAAAGATGCTATGGAAATAGCTGAATTTCAAGCGAGTCTGGAACTGCATGAGACAATTCGTCTGATTGCCTTAGTATCAGTAAATAACAAATGAAGAGTATAAACACATTCAAACTTAAGTTCCGTTCAATTCACAAATACCTACATATAACTTTATAACCGTTCGAGTAAGCTATCCATAGAAAAAATTATGAATATAGTCAAGCTTCTTAGACACCAACACCTTGGTTTATAGAAATCATAATGTTAGAATTTATGATTAAGAAGTTATTTTTTAATAAAACTTTTAAATGTTTAAGAATTGTAGCCTAACTTGTTAGAATTCGTTGGGAATCTTAAGAATCTTCCACTAGTTCTAAATCATGGAAGGTCGTGCCAAAAAGTTATAGCATTCTTTTTGGCGCCCAACGAAGGGTAATATTGAAATCAACTATAATTAGTTAAATAATAAATTCTAGCTAGGTGAGTGAGGGTTTAAAAAACGTAAAAAAAAAAAAACAAATGGCGCCAGAAAATAGCCAGGTCCTCAGATCTACTCTATAAGGGGGCGCCGCAGTCGACGCTGGCGTCGGCGCAAGACGTGAAAAACAAACAGTCATAGCGACCAACAACAAAAGTAGCAAAAACTGAACGGGCGACTGAACGTGGAAGCGCCAGACAGACAGACAGACAGAGAGGCAGACAAAAGCAGGGGTGGTGTCAGTTGTCGGGCGTCTCGTCTGTCAGCCGTCGGCGATATATGCCCGAAGAACCGAACTCTAAATCCAAACCGAACCCGAAAACCGAACCAGAATCCGACTCTGAATACGAAAACGAATACAAAGCCCACAACCTGTCATCTCGTCTCGTCCTACCTTTGGGGTGCGTTTTACTTGTACGGCTTCAGTTTGGGGCGCTGGTACATAGAGCTCTCTGATGGGTTTTTCGGGTTTTCGGGCTTACGTAGAGCCCGTCATGGAAACTGCCTCCCTTCCATTCCTGTATCATCCATCTCGCCATGTTTGTGTGTATCTGAATATCGCTTTTTTAAGGTGGGTGAGTGGTTTTGATAGTGGGTCTGACGAAATTCGCTTGGAATTCCGGTATCTATCTGCTTGAGTCAGCTATATCAATATATCTAATATGTGTATGATGCCTACACTCAAACACTGGTGATTATATCTATTTTTGGGTATAATTATTGACTTTTCGACTCTATAAATCGCTTTTGGGGTGAACCATGTTTGGGTACACTATATAAGGTAAATTTAATTATTTTTTTTGTAAATTGTTCAATGTGAAATATTTGACTGAGCTCAAAAAGTTTTGAAGTCTAGATATTTTTAATCCACCTTAAATTATGTAGAATTGAGTCTTCTATTTTCATTCAGGCAACTAAGATTACCCAAAATGATCTTCTTTGAGTTTCCCTGCTTTTTGGTCCACTTGAATGGCCCGGCTTTAAGCTTTAATTTTCGTTTGGCATCGGGCCAATTTAAACAAGTTTTCTTATGGATACTCCATATAAGCGAGTCGTGAAGCTGAGATGCTTGGATCGGGTTCTTGGGACATTCATTATAGGCATTGGAGACACTCATCCGCTAGCAAAGTGCCAGGGCAACTATAATGTGTATATGTATATATGAGTGCACGAACTGAAAATCCATTCCAGGCCAAAACACATACATATCTTAGAGATGCTGGGTAGCTGACATACCGTGGCCATGTGTATCTTGTATATATAGCTGTAACTTGTAGTATCGCTGCCCGGTTTGGTAGGTGATTGGGTTTGAGATTGGGACCAAGCTAACTTGGTTGTCGGCAGCGACGCCGGCAGAGGTCGAAAACGTTTTGATGGATTAGTCTTAATACAAGTTGAAGATACAAATGGATAACACTCAGTTTGGGTTCGTATTTTTTGGTCGGTTCCCTTCCATTTCGATTTGTTTTTCGGTGGTGGTGGAAATCGCACACATAGCATATATCCCACAGCTAGTATATATATTAGGGATGTGTATATATAAAAGGAAAAGTATTGGAAAAGGTATAAAACCACAGCATCAACCTCTGCGGCGGGTGGTGCTGATGGGTGGGTGGCTCACAGTTGGGTGGTGGTCTGTGCGCTTGGGGACTCCGGGTTTTCTCGGATGCTCGGATGCTTGACGATGACTCGACTCTATTATATTATATTCCAGCAGCTATCCGCCACTGACCAGCCAAGGAAACTTTTCCACAAATGCTTTTTTGCGGCGGTGGCGGCAGCGGTGGCGGCAGCGGTGGCGGCAGCGGTGGCGGCGGCGGTGGCGATGGAAGTGCAGGGGGTAAAAAGCCCTTGGCAACCTTTAGAAAACGAGCTGGAGCATCGAAGAAAATGACCTTTCCTTTTGCCATTTCATGACTCCGAATTCGAATCCGAAGTGATTGCGATGAGCCAGGAACCCTACAAGCACACACACACCCTCAAGCACACACATTTGGACTCGCACAGTAACATATAAATCGCATTTCACTAAGCCGAATGTCGAGGAAAATTAAGTGGTAATAGGGTTTAATGTTTAAGCTTTGTACAGCTGGGATTTCTTACCTCAACTTTAACGTTTCTAGATACAAAATATTCAAGGAGGTGTAAAAATCAAAACAAGCTTAATTTTAATTATGCACCTAACAAACTAAGAATTGTGTTATTAAACGTTTTTAAATAATATAATGTATAACAAAATTTTTATGGAATAACTCCTTGTATGTGTTTAACGAACAAAAAGGTTTTTTTTTAATTTAACTAAACATAATGACATAATACACATACTATATACAATAATGTTCCACTGTGAGTGGGAGGTCTGCCCATTCGCCCAGAGCTCGACTAAGCTCATCTATTATGACCTTTTTCTGGAGAGCCAGATGCGGGGATTTAGCCACGGAATTTATTATGGTTATGTATTATATTGAACCTAGCATCGCATCCCTCCCCCACTATCCGCCATCCCCCGGGAGACAGAGTGAGCATTGTGAAATCGCTGCCACGACCCGAGATAGTATTTTTCCATTACCTTTTTTGATTAGGTCCCAGGCCTTGGCCTCTGTTATTCGCTGGATTCCATTGCGATGCGATGCCAGTTTGAGGTTCGGTTTCGGTTTCGGTCTCGGTCTCAGTGTTCCGTTTTTGGTCCCTCGACCGAATGCTGAAGGTATGTACGCGAGTATCTCCACTGGTATCTCTGCATCTTTTGCTCGTTGTGCCCCATTGTGCCCCATTGTGCTGCTCGCTATAATCTATATGTGATGTCCGCCTGCAGCGTCAGTTGGTCGTTCAGTTGGTTTCCCTGATTATCTGTCCCTATAAAGCTGTAGCTGTAGCTGTGTGTGTGAGTATCTATGCGACGACTGTCGCACCCAAAAGCACCATAGGGACCTGAATTTTTCCTGGTAATTTCCTTTGTGCCTTTTGCCACTCCAGTTGCCCTCCAGTTTCCAGTTTCCCCTGGCCCCTGGATTGCGATTCTCGATTCCGTGCCACTGCCCCCTTGTTAGCACAGTCGACGCCGCTGTTTAGTAATCCCAATCCCGATTCCGATTCCAATCCCCCGCCACCGTCCATATACCATGTGAACTCATTGCTGTCGCTACTACGACGAGTTTATTGCCATTTCCATATCGGGGTTTTACATCTCGTGTTATGCCCTGAACCACTCAGTGGTGTAATATTCCATTTACACTGTGGTGGTGGCAACAGAATATTGAAAAATCAGTTTTGGATTGGAGATTCTGAAATGTATGCGATCAACAAAAATAATTATTTTATCTACATCCAAACTAACAGTAACAATAGCTGTTACATAAATTTTAATCTATTGCGTATTAAAAATTTCTCGAAAAGAGAAATATTAAAAAAATACCACGAAATTATCAAAATAAAACTTTTATGGTTTAAAAATAAGGCCTTAGGCAACAGTTTTCGACTCATCGGCATCATCTGAATTAATATTACTACCTTAATACTGTCTGTAGCTTATTTTCCAGACACACTTATTAAATTTATACTATTATTTTTTTTTTGGTGTATTAAATTTATATTTGTTAATATAGTTTTAGTTGTAATATTATAACTTACTGATAAGTTGTAATTAATTTATTTTATTTTAATTTTAGTTTCACTTTTGAAAATGTAAAAAATTGTTAAAAAGATAAGTTAAGATACTATAAAATAGTTTTTAATTTTTTGTCCATAATTGTTTGTAGCTGACGCTTAGTCATAGTGCCCCAATACATATTTTCATGTGTTTAGGTAATGTTTAACAATTCTAACGAAACGATAATTGCCTGCAAATAAATGAAACGAGTACTGGAAAAAAAAACAAAACTGATAAAATCTAAGGCGGTCCTTCAATACTCTGGCTGCGAAATGTCACCCATGCCACCAATAAACTATGATTTACGAAAAGAAGGTAATTACACTATTCAGCTATGTCTTTTCACTAAATCAGCTAGTTATTATTGAAATTATTTAATGATTATATATATATTTAACAAATTTATATTTATGGTATACCACACTTAGCGATCATAGAAAACAAATAAATATAATATTGTATGATATTTAAAAATATGTATTAAGAACAAAATGAATACCTCTTTCTAATTTAATCTATATATAATATAGAACAGATTTTTATATTTGTTTTTTCTTGAATAGAATTCATAATCTATTTCGAATATTAAGTAAATGCCAATTAAAAATTTAAAGTCCCTGATGGTATATCCAAATCCCCTTACTGTCATTTATATGTTGTAGGGAATCCCTTGGGTTAGTCATCTCTAGCAAGGCAAACATGCGCAAAAACTGTTCGATTTACTTTCAATTCATAAAACGAACAAATCGATTTGTTCATACCAAAAGCGAACCCAATAGCGAAATCCAATACACGTCGTTCGGCAAGACGATTGTATTGGTATTTATAGCGGCCTTCCGAAAGGAGTCAGAACCACTAAGGAATTGAGATTGAGGGACCGACGACAGAGTGCCCGGCTGTCAGATTTTATTTCGGGGTATGTCTTTTCGGAGGTTTGGAGGGAAACGCGGCTCTTGGAGGAACCCTCGTTCAAATCCTCTCGACATCTTTTGCACAATAAAGATAGATTAGCATCTATCGAAAGCTGTGTGCCTGCAAGAACGAGGAAAACGAAGAGCGAGTACAGAAAACGAACTCGAAACGCTGAAGCGGCGCATGACAGAAAGCCGGGGACTGAAATGGAAGCTGAGGGCAGCACATCGTCATTATCGTCAGAACCTCCAGAGTTTCAGCTCAAGGGCCATCATCGTCGTCATCGTTTGCCTACAGCTTCGAAAAGCCCAAGGGGCTTATGCCGAACAGAGACAACCCAAATAAGAAGTACGGGGTATAAAGCTAAATAGCAGAACCAGAGACTCAGTTTCAGAGAACCAACAGACTTGTTTCGCCATCATTGCCATAGTCATCTCAGATCCAGACCAGGTTCTCACGTTTTCCGCTCGGAATGTATATATGCGGGTATATATATCAGCACTCTATATGAACGGGTATTCGTAGAGTCGCTCTTAAGCCGGGGTCTACAGTTTTGGCGAGCTGTTCATATTTGGCATACAATGGAAACGATTATGGCATCGTATATGTATGTTTGTGGATTAAGGGGGTCGAATGGGTGAGTCTGGTATGGTAAAAGAATCAATATTATATATGCAACTAACCGCCAGCCAAAGTAAATAAATGAAATGGAATACATTTACAGGATGCCAATGGATAGAGGGGAGATGATAAAATAGGTAATTGAATGGTTGACTTTTGTTCTTCCCATGGAAACTTCCCCGATATTGCGAATGATCTCTTGAAGGTGACTAACCGAAATAGGCAAAATTTTAATATTGTTAGGTTGTTAGGTTTCTCCAGTAAAAAACCCACATTAAGGTTAATCACAAATTCTTTTGATTTTTATTGTTTACCTACTATTTTTTGCACATTAATATTATTTCCTTATATTTGTATCTTCAGACTTAAAATCTGCAGATTAAATAATGAAAAACTTTTTTTAATTTATATAGGAGATAAAATGACCTTCATAAACCATGGAAAACATTGCATGGCCGTCAGTCACGCCATACTCGATACCCACCCTTGTGGGTGAATAAAGTGAATAAAGTGCCTGGAACCACTGGGACTCGATGATTCTGGAACAATAAAAAAAAGTTACACCCAGAAGCGCCATATAAATGCTATAAATAGAAGAGGCCCCAGGGCTCAAACATTTATAATCTTAATAAAATGCTAGGCCATACGATTTTTCTTATAAATACGGAGGAATTAAAACGTTCACAAATTTAATGCAATACACAATTAAATGGCAAAGGGCTCTTAAATATAAGTATATTAAAAGGATGGTAAACATTGACTTTTGTTAAACATTAAAATACTCTTTCTTATGCTTGGTATAAGTAAGGATATTTTTAAGAGGAGAACGGGATATAATGTCATTATATTTAACACAAACTTTGTAAGATTTTATTGTTATTTTCTTTAGTTTTTTTTTAAAAATCCCTTTTGGAAGATATCGATTTGATAACATCACTCTTTGTAAAAGTATCAAATGTAATTTTCCTGTTTCACCCCAAAATCCCTTCAATGCACTACCCCTATTATATACTTCTGTAATTTCAGCGATCACAAACAGTTGCGTAACATCAAAAAGCTCATGGCCGTGTACATTTTTACATGCCCTCCGGCTATACATCCCCACCATCCTGCGATTGGCATATGTACTCTACCATACTATATATGTATATATACCGAACCCCAGCGACAACTCTCGAGGGAAAAGAAGAAGAAGCGGTGGGCAGACAGAGGACGAGAATGAGGATGAAGTTGAGGTAGAGGTATATATAGTCTGTCCTTTGCTCGTCGTATATCCCTCAGCGGCAATTCCGCTTTCAGGGTTTTATGTCAGAGCTCTTAACGCGCTGGGGTTTCAATTTTGTTTTGGGGCGCAGCCGTGTGGCAGTAACCTGAGCCAAAGTTGTTGTGTTTGCATTGATGTTGCTTCTTCCACGTTTATCGGGGGAAGACCCCGCTCAACCCCTCAACCCGTAAGCCCCGCACACCTAACCCTACACACTCGTAGGTTTTCCGTTTCTGCGAGTGCTATAGTCAAGCCGTCAGACGAGTCGGACGGCGTCGGTCGGAAATCCTTGAAACGAAAGTCCTGAAGCTCCTGCTCCCGCCGCTTCAGCTTCATTTTCTGCTGCCCAGGAGGGTTGCCATCGTATGGCGAAACTTTGCAGCAATCGTGGACGGCAATGTGGCGTTTCCAACGTTTCATAGACCCAATTGTGTAACCGTAGCGCCCTCAATCGACACTGCAAAATATATAACTAAATATCACTTAATAAATCCCCGAGGGGAGAAAAGCAAAGGAGTCCTTAGTTACACTGCTAAAACTTAAGTAAACCTTCATGTTATGGAAAAATTTTCTGCACTTTCATAAATTTGCAAATTAAAATAAAAATAAATACTTAAACTTGCATTTCCTTGCTAAAATTTCTAAATAAAAATGCATGTAAATTAAAACAAATGCAATAAGAAGCCAAAGACATTGTTATAACAATGTCGTACACATTAAAATTAATAGACCTTTTTTATTTGATTTATATTAAATTCTAATCTTAAAACCAACCGATATTTTGGTTTCCAATATATAAAATTTATATATTAAGGGCTTTAAGGACTTAAAAGTAAGCATCCTTTACTTTATACGCTTTCAAAACAGGATGTGTTACTATTTTTTTCAGTGCCTCTATATGCTTAACAATCTGTGATTGCGACTGTGAGGAGCGTCCACCTCGTGGCACCGCAAGCTCCCTCGTCGGGATGCTACGCTGCTGGCATCCGCTCCTCGCCTTTCGTCGTTCGCTTTTCACCCTTCGCCTTTCATCCTCAGTCCACCTCTAGCTGTACTACCCATCTAGAATTGATGTAGCACCTACAGGGCACCATTCCCTCTCCATCTGCCCACTTCCGGAGCTTCTGTTCCACGCACGCTCCACTTCAACTTCGCTGCAGGTCATTCGGACTCGTTCCATCTCATCCCACATCCCACATCCTTCGGCGGGCAGGACGCATAAAGTTTTAGAGGACGAACGTAAAGTTTTGGCGCTGATTGTGCTTCTCGCTGGGGCGAGTGGAAAAATGACAAGCGATTATATAAAACCTGGTCAGAGACCGAGAGAACAACCCCCAAAAGCCAGGATACGTTTATCACCTTGACAATCCCTATAATGGATTTAACTTTTACCTTAAAGGAAACGAACAACAAAATATACCCTTGAAGTTCTAACAAATAAGTGTAAATAAGTGTTCTAACAAATAATGCAATTTTAAAGGAATATATGTATATTTATTTCTTTTACAGCTGTATTGGTATTGGTATTTATGTATTGGTTTGGTTATTATTAAATTGATACAGTTGTTTGGCTTGATTAAGCTTGTATAGAAATAACACTTTTGAGAAAGTTTCATACAAAATTCTGAGCATATATATACAGCCTCTGCAAAAAGTAATAAAATTCAACTTGTTATACAAAAGTATATAGTATTCAATATTTTTTATTCCAAAAATTTAACTTTCAAATTTGTCCTTCCCTCATCTCAGATTCAAGGTTTGTAAATAATGACACCGTTCGTAAAAAGACTTGGTCAATATAAATTGTTCTCTTTCATTTAGTTTTACGCTATTTTTGAAGCGGATATATGCGTCGTTGGTCACATTTTCACCTAGTATGGATATAGTTTTTGATTGGATCTGTTCGTTAACTCTTTTCTCGATCTCTTCATCTTGATTTTCCTGCACTTGTATTCTTTTCTTCTCTTTCAGTTCTTCTCTACTTTCAAGATGAGCAGCATTTAATTTAGCGGGTTCTTCATGTAGGAATTTTATTTCAGATTCCATTTCGGCGATGCGCTTGTTCCTATCTTTCAGTTGTGCGTCGTTTATTGCAGCTGCACTTTCCAAGTTGGCCACTTTTTCACCTAGAATGGATATAGTTTTTGAATGCATCTGTTCGTTTATTCTTTTCTTGAGCTCATAGTCTTGATTTTCCTGCACTTCTAACATAATTCCGTTATGTTTTAAGTCGATGTTAATAGTGTATGCATCTTTTATCTTCATATAAAGATTATTGTTGTTGAAGAAACTTTCTATTGATTGGCCCAGTGCCCTTATCAATTGTTTTTTACCATAATAGATTGGTTGAAGATCCATTTGTAATTACTATAAAAATGAAAATTGTTCAATAATTATTTATGGTACAACTAAAAATAAAACGCACTGTCTTAGCTCACCTACTTATTTGATTTGCCCAAAGAAACAAGTACCCGACAAATGCATTGCTTGCAAAGATAAGAAGGTGGTGATAACAATCACTTAAAGTTAATTGTCAAAATCCATGCCAGTTAACAATAAAAATAAGAGAGGCAAGCCGAAGAATACATACTTTATAAAAATGAAATATTTTACTAAATAACTAAGCTTTAAACGCTATTACGATTTTCTGTTAAATTTTAGCGATTGTTCATTTGGCAGTTATGTGATCGGTTGTCCAATTTTAATAAAATTAAAACTGTAATTCAAATCCTTAAATTGTATTTTAATAAATTGAAAAACAGCAAAGTTATACTTTTTTCATTTATTTTTGCAACTGCTCCTATGGGCGCTATATGATATAGTCGGCGACCTAGAAACTACCTATGGTACGTACATCTTTGAACTTAAGGCACAAGTATATGGCTGTTTTCCTATTCTACGGAGGTGTCCTTTTCGGCATGTTTTTTTGCTCCGCTCTCAAAGATCTTCTCCAGCTGGGTGAGCAGTCCGATGGCTCGATAGTTTTCCTCCATCAGAGCAAACTCCTCCAGGGGTTTTAGCAGGCGCAGTGCATCCTTGTAGCTTTCCACGCAACGCGGCAGATGCGCCTCATCGCTGGTCTCTGAATAGTGACCGGGACTATGGGCGGGTGGTATTTGCATATCACTAAGTGATTGAATCTTTTGTATCTTCAGGCCACAGGCTACTGGATCACCATCATCTTCCTCCAATCTTCGTTTAGCTATCCTCTCCGGTGGCTCGTCATCCTCATCGTCCTTAATTTCTATGAGTTCCTGCGGCACTTCGATTGCGACACAATCGTCATCCTCCTCGGGCTCCAATTCTTCGGGCTTTTGTTCCACCGGCGGTAAGTGGACAAAGCCAGCTCCCAGCTCATCCTGTGTTTTCTTGTGGGCCAGCGTAATTTTATGTTCATTCCGACCACAATAACTGACTACATCCCGAAGGTCCAGGGAAAGAGGCACTCGGCGATTGGTCATCGGCACGCCCACGGAAAACGTAAAGTTGTAGCGGCTCTTGAAGTGATTGAACCACACTTTGTCGGGAAAGAACGACTCGATCTTCAGAATGTCCCTCAAACTAATGGCCACCGTTCGCAGGTTGTCCAAATCCAGTCTGCCCTTGTGGTGCAGCTGCGATCGCTGGATGTACTCGTACAAGCACTTCTCCAGAAAGGTTATCTTCCGCTTGCGTCGCAGATGCACCTCATCCGAGGTGGCCTGATTTTGACACGATGTGGTGACCAATGTCTTGGTGCGATACAAAGGTCGATCGATGGCCCTTTGGTCACTGGTCGTGGGAGCGCTGGGTTCCGGTGATCGGGGCACCAAACTACAAGCCATGGACGTATGTCGCCCACAATAGGACATTATGTCCCTCAAGTCCATCGATCGTGGTGGTCGACGGGTTATCGTGATCTGACGATTCGACAGGGTTATATTGTAGGCGGCCTTGAAGTGATTGATCCACGGCTTGTTCGGCACAAAGCCCTCGATTCTCATCAGGTCACGGAACTCTATCGCCCGGTTGCGGATCATCTCCTCGTTCACATCGCTGTGCAAATAGAACTGGGCCCTTTGGATATACTCGTACAGGCAGTGGCCCAGAAAGTTCAGTTTGCGCCGGCGCAGTTCGCCGTCCTTGTTGGCCGGTTGGCTCATGCGATTGGTGGCCTCGTGGAACTCCAGAATCGCCTCGCGATTGGACACAATGCTCTTGATCTGCTCCCAGCTGCAGTTGAAGTTCCGGGCAATCTTGCTGTACATGGGCACGATGTCGTACTGCCGGATGACGGCCACCCGCTCCTCCAGAGTCAACACATTCCGAATGCGCTGTGATCCACTAGAGTTATCGTGCGACTCGTCATTCTGCAATTGGATCGTGGTCAATTTCAATTTAAAAAGTTCAAGCAAAGAAATGTGGGCAAAACCAATAGCCAGAGAAATAGAAGAAAATGTACATTTTTTAAACCAATACTAATTTAACGAAATTTTTTTCTTTCTTTTTAAAATATTTAAACAGGTCAACATCAGAATAAACTTAAAAATTTAAATAAATAGCAAGGTGATTTCATATATGTATATATATATATAACAAACAAAAATAGTTTATTTTTACCAATTAGAACCTATTATTTTTACCAATTATAAACTATTACCAAAATAACCTAACATTGTCAGGATCTTTGATTGCTATTATTTTTAAAAGATTTTAATGTAAGTCTTTTTTATTGGATTCTTTAAAACAATTAATTATTTGTAAATAAAATATTAACTATTTCTGTTTTTTTTTTTTTAATTCGGCAATATACAAAATTGTATTTGTTAATAAGATATTAGAACGTCTTGTTTAGGTATTCCCTTTATATAAGAAAGTCAGCCTTGTTTTAAATGTTTCTCAGAATATTTTCCAGTGCATGTTCTTAAAAAAGTTTGATACAACATTCAAAACTGAGTAACATTTTGATTATCGAATCATAGTACTGCTTTCTCACTTACTTACTGCAAAAGTACTTACGTCAGAGTACATTTCCACTCACACACAAAAACAATGTCCCGCTCTTCTCCACTCTCTTTTAGCGTGCTCTCCTCTCCCTCATGCAATGCTATTGAGAAAGTCTGTGCATAAAGAAAGATATATACAAATACTTTTTATGTAAATATTTCTTACCTCTTAGCTGACCCTGTTAGATTATTAGAACTAGTTTTGCACAAATGTGAAGCAGTTTTTTAGGCACATTAACTTTACAAATCGGAGGCACGTTTCCAGTGAATGCAAATCGAAGACTAATACATGAACATGTGAGCCAAAAAATTACGATGGGATCGACTCTTTCTCACGCTCGCCGGAGAATAAAAAACCCGCTCGACGAGATTATATTTAAGAGAGAGAGAGAGAGAGATTTAGCTCTCTTTGCCTCCCGATCGGAGCTATATAATTATATATTTCTATGTGGGTATGGCATGGTTTGTTTGGGTTTTATTTTTAAACGGATCGAGTAAATAGTGCTTGGTAAGTGAGCGTCGGTTTGTTGTTTTGACTCTCTCAAAACGGCTATAACTGGTTTGTGGATTTTCATGCCAAAATAGACCAATCGCCTTATCACTGTAATCTAACCGAGAACTGGTTTTATATTCATATTTTTATTTATTTTTCAAGCCAATTTATCGCAGGGGCTTTGTTAAGCTTGTAATTTGTTTTCCACTAAAACAACATTTTATATACAAATCGAAGACTTCCTATTATTTGTTGAATTTTAATAAAGTAAGCATCACATCACCATTTTATAGCGATGCAGAGGGTATAATAACTATTGGTTACAGTAAAAGAGTTATTTTCGCCTCTAACAGCAACACTAGGCTAGTTAAGTCTATAGTCTTGCCCCTTCTGCCTGTTTCTAAAGCTAAGACCTTGAAACGTTTGCAATCTTTATTTTAAGCGTGTATGCAGACCAAGTTTGAAAAGAGTCTATTTATATGTATATGTAGCTACCATGGAATATATTTCGAATTTCTCGCTGTTTTTGTCTAACATAATGTTTTTATTTCATTTTGCACCAATAGTTTTATCATAATCAAAATAAAACAATATGTAAGTCTTAGTATAAAAATTATAAAAGTATGAAACAATTTTTTTAAAATAACAACGATTCAATCCACTTTCAAAATAAATATGACCCCAACAAATAATCAGGTTTTTATTCTTAAATAATAGTTCGATTTGGAAGATTTTTGAGGTAGTCGTTAGTTATTGATCCAAAAAACATACACCATTGATCCAGACCAAGAATATATATACTTAACGAATACAATATACCCTTTTACACTTAATTTTCTATATCGATATAGTAAGAGTTCCCAGAAAAAATAACACAAATAATATATATATATATGCCATATATATATATTATAATATATGGCAAAGAAAATTCAACTGGAATTAAAGAGATATGTTAATCACAGCGATATTTTCAAACTATTTCCGTTTGGGTTTTTAATTTCTTAAAAAAATTTACAACTAGATTTTTCGATTTAAAAAATAAAGTTTCCTTTGACGAATAGATTGTTTTCCTTATAAGAAGCAATTCAGAGATCGAAATCTTCGTTCTGGGGAGGGTTAATGATTGATTTTTCAACTTCAGTAAGCAGGCCTATGGCCCGAAAGTTATCATTTAACATGGCGTACTCTTGTAATATCTTCAGATGTGCCAGAGCCATATTTTTACAGTCAATTGATTTAAGTGAACTTTGTAAGGATGTGATTACTTGAGGGTCGATCAAATCTTCATTTCTAACATTGTTCTCCTCCTGATGATAAAGCAATTTTATATTATTAACTCCAATCATTTTTGATCTATTAACTCACCTCAACTGTATTCTCGGCTTCGGACTTAACAGCTACGATTATGGGTACGATCGAAGGCTATGGAAACGTAGTGCAAAGATTTTAAATGAGTTTAAAATTTTTATAAATAAAACTCACCTTACTAACATTGGAATTCGAGGCAGTTTCTTTTTCCAAAGACTTCATTTCCTCTATCTCAGTCATTTCAACAGGCTAAAAAAAACTGGCTAAGTATTTAAGCTACTAAAAATGTACTAGGAAAACACACCTCGATCTCAATTTTAATGGTAGATTCATTTAAACTAGAATCTACACAAAGTCTTAATTCTAATTCGTTTGGCTCAGTCTGCAAGAATAGCATTATTAGATATGGGCACTTTCGTTAATTAGATTATATCTTACCAGATTGACATTCAGCTTGTTCTTATCTTCAGCCCATTTTTTACAAATTTTACAAAGTTTAGTTTGACCTTGTTTATTCGTCATCGTAAGGAAGGCACACCTTTTGCAGCCAGTTTCATTTTGGTCGGCCTTTGGTTCCTAGAATTGGTTTAAGAATTATTAGAATTAAATTAAAGAAAAAAACCAATATTACTTACTGATGATTCCAAAACCAGGGCTACCTCCGTTTTCCCTGTTTCTTGAGGTTTCTAAAAAGTATGCAGATCAGTAACGGGAGTTTTTTAGAATAATTAAATTATATAACATTGTTTTATTTTATTCATTCCTAAGTTTTCATTTTTATTGAACGTTAAGGCATTTTTGTTTTGAAACAAAATTGGTTTTTAATTATTAAGGCTTTCAATTAGTTATGACTTGCAAACTATCAAATATAATTCACTTATTTTAGAATACTTGATTTTCTATTAAATATTTATTAAAATCACCTGCTCCTCAACAAGTATAAAACTTTTGAATTGAAATGTAGCCATTAAATTATTTTGGGCACATGGTAAATTAAACTTTTTGATTATCTAATAATAATTTAATGAGAAGTCCAAAGATTTCTTACATTGGCTAACTGTGGCTTCTCTTTAGCTGGTGGGTCCTTCCTAATCCTGGCCTTCTTAAGCTGCTCCAGGCGATCCCTCCATCGCACGCATAGTCCCTTCGTCTTGTGCTGCTCCCGCACCATGTAGAAGGAGCTGCCCACGTATATCTCACGTTTTTTGGGATCGGTTTCCGCTTTAATTTTGAACCTCAAGTTGCCCAAACGATTGTTTACGTCACGGAGGAGATCCTCCATTTGGATCAGGTGTCGGGTGACCTTTGAGATCTCCGCATCCTGCAAGTCAATCAATTTCCGTTGGTAAATGACGATAAGTTTCTTGGCCCGTATCTGTTCCTTGGCGAATATCATCGTTTTCTCCTTGTAAGCCTGCCGCTTCACCGGGTTTCTCTCCGATTGAAGTGAAACACGAGCATTTTCGAGTCTCTGGTTCGTATCTTTAAGGTGTCGAATGACATCACGAAGAGACGACTCCGTGGTGGCGAAAGCCACCGCATTTGGAGCCTGAAATCCTGGTGGGGCAGGACCCAAGGCGAATATACTTGACTTCGATATTTCCGTTATCGCTTGTTTTTCCATGGCCCAATAATAAATACAATTTCTCGGAGATGTGTCCTGGGCTGCCGTACTTTGCGAATGATATTGCCAAACTGCTTCACTGGGTGTTGCCAGTTCTCAGTTATCGATTACATATCACCAAATCAATTAAGTTTAGGAAATATGATATTTCTTAGTTTAAAAATGTTCTTACTTAAATTACATTAATTTATTTAGTTTTGTTTTAATTTTTTTTTTGTTTTACCAACAACCAATGAATGTGCCTTTGCGCTGCCATACGTTATTAAAAATGTTGCCAGACTGGTATGCTTAAGTCTATGTTTCAACCACATTCTATGCGCCTGCTGATTGTGTTGCCAATACACTGTTTTCGATTACATTTCACTATATTAAACCTTATTTATAGACAGTTATTACCAGCCCCTAACTAATTTTTATTTATATATATTATTTATTATTAATTTTTTTTACATACCACAACAATGTTTGTGAGCTGCCAAATGCCAGATGGCCGAAGTTGACTTTAGCTAAGACCCAAACCACATTTTTGTTGTTCATATTAAACCATTTTACTATAGCCATTCTTTAGTGATATAAATTCGTTTTAAAATCTCAATACAAACACATTACTGAAATAAAACTAATTAAATATATTTTTCCTGTACTAGCTAGTTTAGATGGTTATCTGTGGAAAAACTAGGTTTGATCCTCTTCGAAATCGTTGCTCTTCGGGGGATATTTAATGGCATTTTCCGCCTGCATGAGCAATCCGATGGCCCGAAAATTGTCCTGGATCATGGCGTATTCCTGAAGGGCTCTCAGGTGCCTTAACGCTTCCTCCATACTGCCGATGGACAGCTCATTATCCTTGGCCCCCGAATCGTTCGTTTCGGGCTCTGCGGCATTAAAGACCGTGATGTGATCCAATTCCCTTGGTGGTTCCGCCGCTTGCTCCTTGTAACTTTTTCGGATTTTCTGGATCCCCAGTCGACCGGCATCCGCCGACTTTCGTTTGCGGTATTGACGAACCTGACCGGGAATGACTTTTTGAACAGTGCCCAAACACACCACCCTGCCATCCTGCGTATCGCTGATTACCATATTGTCCGCCGTATCATCGTCGCCGTCGCACAGGAATGTTCTCATCGCCGAGAAATTATCCATGCTAAGAGGCTGCGACGGGATGGGGTCATCTTTCAGAATCGCCGACATCTGGTCGTAGAACTGCCAGTTCGGATGGAATTGCGGACCCTTGGCCAAATGCTTGTTCCTTATGCAGTAGTAGGTTTTCTTCAGGTTCCTGAATTTCCGATCCAGCTGAACGGCATCAATATCCAGCATTCCCTGGCTTTGTAGAGCCTCGACCATATCCCCCCAGACTTCCTTGATCTTTCTCTTTGGATCTCGGAATTCAGCTTGTCGTTCATTGTAAAGGGATAGCAACATTTGGGTATTTGCTGAATTCCACTTTCTTTCATCAGCTGGATTTTTAGGTAACAGAATCGCTTAGCTTTTGATTACTCTTTCTAATATTCTACTTACTTTTAAAGTCCATTGTTTACAATAGCAACCCTTCTTCAATGACGAAAAAGTATTATATTGATTCCTAGGCTGCCCATTTCACCGACGGCGTGGCTATTGTTATCGCGGGGGGAAGGTATCATGATCCCAGCAGCTGTTCCGTTTGGTATCAATCGATAACTATCGTTTAGGTAGCACAAACTGGAGATGGAATTTCGCGTTCGTATGTTAGCTTATTACTTAAATATAACTTATAATTTAATATATTACTTTAAGTATTTAATTTTCAAATCTTGTGAAAATTATTATTACCAACTTCAATTCTTTTCCCCCGAAAATTGTTTTTGGTAGATTATCGGGATTCCCGGGTCAAGTTCTTGATCGATGATCCTTAATTTTTGTTTTGTGCAATAGTCCTTCTACCTACAACACAAGAACTCCAAAATAAATCATTAAATTGCAGCTTTAACCTTCAAAGTTTTTAAATTAAAAACACAACGGTGTAACAAAAAAAATGTACACGTATGAATGTATACTTTTTTGAGTTTTCCACAGAAAAAGGAACTCAAAGTTAAAGAAAATTAAAAATTTTATAATTTTTAAGCCTCAATTTACGCTCTCAAAATTATTGATTAATATATTGCTTTTCAATATATCTTTTTAAAAAATTTTGAATATTAAAAGACACTGCCCTATTTTCAAAACAAACCCTTAAACAACATTTTTAAGAATCCGAATACTTGTTATTTCTTAAAAGAAAATGAAAAATGATTTTTAAAATATGTATGAAAGCCAAATAGTTTCACCCTGATATGTTGTTAAAGAATTTCAAAAACATCTTAAGCAAGAAGCTAGCTGCTCTGCTGCCATCTGTTGGAATAAAAAAGAATTAAATAGCGGTTCTAGTAAACCACACTAGATGTCGCCGTGAAATTTTGTACTACATCGTGTAAAATCAAAAATGTAAAAAATTCTAAATATTAAGTTATTTTATAAAAAATATTTTTATTGAAGAATTAAATATTATTTAAAAAAAAAAAATAGTGTATTAGAAAAAAAAAAATTATATATTATTGTAAATAGACTTCTAGAAATTTGTTTATGTTTTTAAAACAAGTTTATTTGATAAAGGGTTACGTCATTCTGTTACCTTAACCTGATTATTTGAAAATACTTAGCCCGATAAGTTATTGGGCAACAGCCAAGTAGAATTTTATTCCATTCAAAGTCATATCGTGGAATCTAATTTAAAGCCCATTATCCAGCAAACCAATCGAGCATGTCCATCTAATTTCCGCTCAAAATGAAAACAAAAATTTACATACGCACATTGTTTCCAATGTTTTGGCATATTTTTCAGAAGCACCTGTGCTCCCAGGTGAATGTGTGAAAAAGTTGGTCAGAAGATCTCAAGAAGCGCACTTCCGTTCTAGACCAGATAATAACCGTGAAATGTTAAAAAAAAACAGTAGTAAATAGTAGTTGCAACCCCAGAATGAGTGACTTTGCTGCTTTTTCCATAAGTTTTGGTAGGGCGTTCAGCGAAGCGCAACTTTGTAGAAGGTGTCTGGACCCTGTAGACCCTCCCTATATACAGATCCCTACCAAAACCAAAGTCAAATAATTGTTGCGCAACTAGGCGAAGCCAACTCACTGATTTTCCCATGAGGAGTCGGACCAAAACGCGATCAGCGGGGCATAAAATGTGGGAAAATCAACTCTTGAATATGATTGACAATGGTTCGGGGGTCTCTATTTCTTTTTCTTTTTGATTTTGTTTAGCGGTCTGCCCATGGCAATGGCTTCATTATGTTGAACAGCTCCCACAGTAATAACACTTTCGGGCTTGCCTGCCTGAAAATTGCACTTCGTGCAGACGGATTTCTAATTCATTTCGCTTAAATGTGTGGCGCTGCCTTTGGGCCTCAAGTCCCGCAGTTAGTTAGTGGAAGCCAAACAATCGACCAGTATGGTTTATATTTCATCTAACCACTGAAGGAAATGGGAGTATTTTTGATCTTGATTAAGGATTTAGGAAACTGTAAAGCCTTTAAAAGTAACCAGTAATGAATGAGAAAATATAAATTTTGAGCAAAACAGAATAATCCTATAAATAACCAAACTTACCAAATATAAAAGTTACTTAAAAGTTCTAAAAAAAACTTTAAAATCTTTAAAATACAACTGATAACATAACAGGTTGGACTAAGTTATGACTAATCTGACCAAAACCGAAATGCCCTATAAATAAAATGTAATAATTAATTATTTTTAAGGTAAGATTTGTTATTATATTATTGATATCATCAAATTAAAATTCAAAACCTAACTTTGGAATAGAAATGGGTCATCCAATTTCACAAAAATTGTAATGAAAGAAACCCAATTAAAGCTTTGAAGCGATATTAAGATGGGTTTTATTTTGCTCAGTGAAAAACCCCTAGTCAAATCCACATAATTTGAGCTCCGCAGTAGACAACAAGATCAGTTCATTGGGAGTTCAATGTTCGCGGGTCACGACTTTGACTCCATCGAGCAGACATAAATCGGAGCAGCCAAACAACTTGATGCGGGGACTTTGACAGACTGCTCGAGATCTGCGATTTCCTCGGGATCGGCACTGTATGCATCCAGCTATGGGCCCAGGCACTTCAATCAATTGACGGAAGTGCCTTTTTCGCCAATGTGATCATGATAATGATGTATGTTATTGGCCCCGAACCCAGAGCTTGCCCATTTGCTATTTGTCAAATTTTCATTAGATGGCCATAAATTGAAATCACGCGGCATTTGTTTTGGCCAGTACACAAATAAATTTTCGCTTTGCCGCACTGATTCTCACGATTTCAGGATCTAGCAGATGATGGGGAGTTGCGGTGCATGGCTGCGGGTATACCGGCACTAAAACTTTCTAGCTGTTCACACCACCAGCTGCTCTTTCGATCTCAGTTTTGGACTTGGCCAATCGCCACCTGCACTTGGGAGTTTGGCAGATCTGCCAGAGGCCTTACACTCGCAGAAATATTGATCCATTAAAGGAACTTCAAATTAGAAGTTCAAAGTTAACTATGATTTCAAGCCAATTACATGCAGATTACTCAAAGTGTAAAAAAAAAGAGAACGGAAGAAAACTAGGGTCGCAACACGTATATAAGCAAATGCATATGGATTTATCAACTTGTCTAGGAATGCAGATCAAGAATATGTATACTTTTCTCGCCTTCGCTGCTTTACAAACTTTTCACCAATTTAGTTATACCCTCTGCAAGGATATAACAATTATTCTACATTCTACAAACATAATATTTTCTTGGAGTGCATCAATTGGTGCTAGAGCTGGATCTGAGATGCTGAACCTGGTCCCCACACGTTCGAGTATGTTGCTTGGCTAAAAGCGAATTCCAGTTGCAAACCCATTTTTGGCACGATCGCTGAGCACAAACCTTTTTTGGGAAGAAGCCGCCACAAGGAGCCCCCGACTAGGAGCATTGATTTGGAGTTGCATTTGGTATTGGGCATTGGGTATTGGGCATTGGATATTAGTATTGCCGATGGCCAGACGTCGGGCAGAACG